TAATCATACGATTTTTAACGCATTAAAACATTGCAATTGTTGCCGAACGCTGAAGTATAAAAGATATTTTTTTTAGTTGGAAAATAAAAATGTTCATTCTTATTTGATAACAAATCAGAGAAAACTTCTGACTTATAGAATGAATTAAAGCGATTGTAACATCCATTCATATATCTCCGTGTCAAGGCGATTTCATGTAAAGTAATGAAAAAAATTAATTACAAAGGTCAGTGGACGTTTTGCATTTATACGCTCGTATTTTAAATTTTAATACAATAATATATTATGTGTCATTTCTATTTTTCATGATGATTTATTGAGCAGACTTCTACATGTATCTGTAGATGGCCGAGATTATACTCGAACAAGAAAATACAAAGATACATATTCATTTTATTTGTTATAAATTCAATTTTCAGAACTTGATATTTAAGTAATATGCTGTTATAATTTTTATTAAACAGACAAATGAGAGAGAGAGAGAGAGATTCCGTTTTAGCCCCCCCCCCCTCCTTCCTTTCAGGCTTCACTAAATGTTTGTACCTATATCAAACAATAACTCTGAAATTTTTTTCTAAATATATTAGACAATGAAAGTAACTTTTTTTTTAAATCAACAAATCATATCCATCTGTTTGACAGTATTACTCGTTTTTATTTTCCTGCTTCAAGTTCACACGAAGTCCACGTGCTTGTCCTGTCAATCAAAATCATTCGACCCTGTGCAGGTGTGAAAGTTTCGTCACATCGAAGACGAAGTGCGAGTATTTCCAACAAGTTATAACATTTATTTTTATCATTTCTAGATTTGATACCAACATTTGAATAATAAATGAATAAAATATATTGGGCATTAACACTTGAATTTGAAACATACTCTCTGCCAATTTCAAATACCACCGCCGACACGTGTACATTGTGAACTACTATTGTTTTGTGACTTTTTTAGATGCATGTTTGTTTTGAGACTGAAATTTTTGTTCTAAAAAAGACCTTAACTTTTTTTAACAGGTTAATTAAAATTTTCTGGAAATACAGTACTGACTAAGTAACCGATTTAGGGGAAAAGGGGGGGGGGTTAATCATATCGAATGGCAAACATATAAAGTTACGGTGAAGAAAGAATTTTTTTCTCTATAACTATAGACTTTACATACATGTATTATAGTAGCGAAAATTCTGTAGTGCATTACATTTTAAATAAATATTTCCTTTAAATACACTATCAATTTAATTCGCTCCAAAGATAATAAATTAACAGGATATCCGCAGTACTATGTATAACTCTCAGAACTAGTTCTATCATATTTTCTGTAGTAACTGAGTTAAAAAACGCGTTAGAAATAAATATTTTCGTAATTTTGCTGCGTAATTATTTGACTTAGATAATTATATCTCCATTAACGATTTGTCGTCTTTAACAAAACAACAAAATTGCCCTTAGTTAAATTTAATATTTCAGCATCGTTCTACATAGGTACAGAATGTGCTTATAACAACATTTATTTTCCAGAGTAATTTAATAAATAACCTAATAGCTAAGTTAGAATAATAAAAATATATATCTTAGATATTTTCCCCCATGAAATAATGATTCTTCAAACACGATATGTTAGTTATTAAATTAAAAAATCTGTAACTCCTTACCTACAAAAAGATAAGTCCTTTCACTTGGGAGTTCCGAATGGCAATGAAAACTGAACGATAGGTGAACGCTGAACGCAAGGTGAACGCAAAGTGAACGGAACGAAGAGCGAACGCTGAACGCTTTGTGAACGGTGAACGCGAGCGCACGGTGAACGGTGAACGCAAAACTGTGAACGGAGAGCGAACGGTGAACGCACGGTGAACGAACGGTGAACGCACGCTGAACGAACGGTGAACGAACGGTGAGCGAACGGAAAAATGGGAAAGTAGAACGTTTCAGGGACTGTACCAGTAATGCATACATGTAATTATACCCATAATATTCTGTAACCAAAGTTTTGATTTTTATGACGTTGAGCTCTTGGAGCTCGAACGTCATCTAGCAAGCGCCCAGTTGAAATCGCGACCGGATATGTACGCGACCGAGTGTGTCAGTCGATGCATCCGCAATAGAAAATAGCAATAGCTATAAACCATTTCTTTGAAAACGCTCAAAATGAATAATAGCTTGAAAATAAAATTGCATCAACTATATCTGCAAATAATTCTATTGCAAAACAACAATATTATGTTTTATTCTCACACAAGAAAAATGTGATGGTTGTTGCGGATGAATTTCTACAGAAAGGGTGCGTGGAATGACATGAATAACATTTCGGAACGATAACCGTGTAACATAAACAACACAACAGGAGGTAAAATAATTACAAAATTACATAAACACGAATACTACAAGACTAAAAAGATTGAATTTCTAAATCTTAGCTTTACTTATAAAATCTTCTAACCAATTCTATCCTAAAAGCCGATGATATTGACCAGTATTACTGTATTTCTCCATTTCCTCCATTTCCCAGTATACCGTATACCACGCCCGATCGTAACTCGATCGTAATTGTAACAGAACAGAGTCTTGGTTGTAGTTTAGATGCAATCACTAATACAACGCTTTGACATTGGCAATTAGAAAAAATATTATATAAATTCATGAAATCCTTCATAGTTCTTCAACTGACTGATAAGAATTTAGCATGAACATGTTCGACGGTGTCTGGTCAATTCGAACCCTGCTCCATTCGGACCATGACATAAGGCCCCAGACTGTAATTGTGATATTTTGTTTAAAACTATTTTTTTTATTATGTCTCCTGAGTCACTCACTTGACTTATTGCTATCTTCAAATTCAAAATGATCTTTTGAAATTGTTTTTCTTCTTCGACGTCATTGAAGCCTTTCAGGCTTTTGATTTTTTTTTTTACCTGAATTTTATGATAATATGACTGAAATGTCCAGCCTTTGTCAACATATCACAGTAGTATAAAACCAATGAAAAAACCCCCTAAGTAATTACATAATTTCTTTGTACAGGCTATAATTCGTTCTTAGAATAGAAATTTTATGATGATTTACATATGAATCTGCTTCTCAACACTAAAACCAAAATCGTGGTATAAACATACTTGTAGTATAATTTAAACAAGAAACTGCATGTTTTAAATACAAGTAAATGCATGTATTTATATAAATACACCAGCATGTACATTATATAATAGTCCAGTCAATTTATCATGAAACATCAACTTATATTTATGCAACACAATTTCTTTTGTTATAACTTAACTAGAATTTCATGATACTTCATAAAATTTTACCCGGTAGTCACTTATTTAGAACTGATATAATACGTTTTCAAATTCCATTTTTAATATGCAGGTAGAGAATGAGTGGATAATTAATTCAAACAAAACACAGAACTGTTTGCCAGGACAATTTTTTTTACAGGATATAGGTTCATAAATTCATCTAGTAGTTTTTTATTACTTAGATTTTTTATAAAAAAAAAAAAACTATAACTCATCAAGGTAAAGTCACATATCAAAAATCAGCTCAATATCTGCAAGCATTTAGAAAAAAATTGCGGAAAACCCTGAAAAATTGAAAAGGTTGTAATTCCGTCAAAAATCATTGAAGCAGAACGAAATGCAAATTTGATCTGTAACTCATCAAGATACACTCACATACCAAAAATCAGCTCAATATCTGCAAGTGTTTAGAAAAAAAGTGCAGAAAAACAAGTGTGACAGAGGGACAGACAGACAGAGGGACAAACAGACGGACAGACAGATGGACGGACAGACTCCGAGAAAACACATAGTTCCCTCCGGTTTCACCGGTAGGGGACTAATAATCATTGACAAGTATAATTATTATTTTCTGAAATGTAAGCCATGCAGACTTAGCTAGTACTAGTTTCCAATGGCCCTCATCTCAACTTTAAATTTGTGATTGCATGTAGCTGTCAAGAAAAACAAGTTAACTTGAACTTTTCAACCAAAAAGAAAAATGATTGAGCAGACACTTTTATTATAAAAACATACAAAATGACATCACTTAACTCCATAGAGAAATATAAAAATGTATATTAATAAGCTGAATCGTACATATGCATAAATATATTCTTTGTGGAAAATTATGAGGTGTTCAGAGCACCATTCCTTGTGACTATTATACATAACAACACCATTTATTCTCTCATCAAAAAACTTAAATTTTTGTATTTACAACTTAGAGAGGCTCTTTTTTTTGCTTCTAGAAATTACACTTCTCACATACTGAAATATAATTGTTTTGTGTTGAAAAACCAAGTAAATCAACAGGATCAGTGTCCTAGCTTGCATAATTGTTTTAGAAAACTAGTATTTCTGTAGCTTAATTATCATTTAACTATAATAACTAGGCTGTACCTAAATCTGGCAATATTTAGTTAATATTAATATATTTAATCAATATTAATATATTTAGTTAATATATTTAGTTAATATTAATGTATTTGGTTAATATTAATATATTTCTTTTTTTCAGCTGTAGGATTTGGTTCTTGGTGTTTTCATATGACTTTATTATACAGTATGCAGGTTTGTTAACTTTGCTTTTTTTATCTGTTAAATGTAAGATCAAATGTTAACACATTTATAACATCTCCTTTAATCAAGTAATTTGGACGGAGCCTCAGGGTTTATTTCACTGGTAGGGGAGTTACTTAATAATGTCATAAGTTAGGATGCAGGTTTTTCATTATTTTTCACAGAATTTCCCATGGCGTACCCCTCCCTGCATTGAAAGGGTTGTGCATATCATCTCAACCTTCATTTCTCAGTCTTATACTGAATTCAAAATACTGTTATTGGTTGGTTTAGCAAGAAACATATCATGCATATCTTGAATTGAGTTTTCCCGGATACTTGATTAGTATGATTACAGGTATATGATTGTTTGATCTTTAGCTCTGCTGGTCTGCAGAGATCAGGAGAACTCATGCAATGGTAAGGTGCCTGTCATCCATTTAATAGCTATTCATCTTTTTATCTACTTGTCTATAAACACTTTTTCAAAATGCAACTATTCCTGGTCCAGTTTCAATAAAAATGTTACACAATTAGACTACACTAACTACCATAGTTGTCCCTTAGAATTGAAATAGCAGAAGACATTAAAAAAAGTAGAAGGGGGTCTGGAGTTCCGCCTCTAACAAGGGGTTGAGGGGAATACCAGAATAATTGGGGGATTACATCATTATAGTTGGGGAAGTTCCCCCAGATCTTAGGGACAACCATGAACTACACTAAATAAGATACATTACTCAGAAAACAGGTAAAGAGGTTTATGATTTTGATGAAAGATGTAGCCATGTAAATAAAAATAGAAATGTTCAAAACACCACTCCTCTTACAGTTTTTGTCCGATTTCAATAAAACTTGGTACACAAGTAGATTATAATACTGAGATACATAACTCATTATGTAGACCCAGGTTTTTGTGCCCCTTCATGAATATGACCTGGGCATATAGTGTTTGTCATGTCCGTCTTCCGTCCTTCCGTCTGTCCTTCCGTCACACTTTGCATTTAGCTCTGTTCAAAGCTCAGTTTCATTAAAACTATCCAAGATATTTTTATCAAACTTCATATGCTGATAGACATTGATGAGAGCTATGCAACTGCATAAACATTTTTTGACCTTGACCTTTCCTTTGACCTTGACCTCACTTAAATTAGTGTTTAGCTCAGTTTTAAAGATACCATACAAGATAGTGTAATCAAACTTCATATGTTGATACATACTGATGTAAGCTAATCAACTGCATCAGCATTTTTTGACCTTGACCTTTCTTTTGACCTTGACCTCACTTTTCTCAAATTAGTGTTTGGCTCAGTTTTAATGAAACCATTCAAGATATTTTTTGCAAACTTCATATGCTGATACATACTGATGAGAGCTATTCAACTGCATCAATATTTTTTACCTTGACCTTTCCTTTGACCTTGACCTCACTTATCTTAAATAAGTTTTTAGCTCAGTTTTAAAGATACCATTCAAAATAGTGTTATCAAACTTCATATGCTGATACATACTGATAAGAGCTTTTCAACTGCATCAACATTTTTTGACCTTGACCTTTCCTTTGACCATTGACCTTACTTTTCTTAAATTAGTGTCAAACTTCATATGCTGATACATACTGATGTAAGCTATTCAACTGCATCAGTATTTTTTCACCTTGACCTTTCCTTTGACCTTGACCTCACTTTTCTCAATTTGTGTTTAACTCAGTTTAAAAGAAACCATTCATAATATTTTTATCAAACTTCGTATGCTAATACATACTGATGTAACCTTTTCAAATGTATCAACATTTTTTGACCTTGACCTTTCATATATTTTGAATTAGTGTTTAGCTCAGTTTTAAATAAACTATTCAAAATATTTTTATCAAACTTAATATGCTGATACGTATTTATGAGTTCTATTCAACTGCATCAAAAATGTTTGACCTTGAACTTTTCTGGGACCTTGACCTCACTTTTCTTAAATTTGCATTTTGCTTAATTTTAAAGAAACCATTTAAGGTACATTTTTGTAAGCTTATGCATTTATACATAATTTGGTGAGAATTTATCATCTATATCAAACGTCTTAGATTTCAATTTCAATTTTAAAGAAACTATTCAAGATATTCTCATCAAATTTCATACACTTATACAAATTTTCATGTTGCATTACTAATATACCCTCGGCGGGGCATTCATGTCCTATGGACATATTTCTACTTTGATTTTGACAAACTGTACTCCTCCTTTACTTTTAGTCCATTTTCAGTAAAATTTACAACACAGAGACTAAACCAGGAATCATTTTTATTCTCTATATTGGTGGTGCCATATAGTTTCAAGTCCAAAACAGTAGAGCTACAGTCTCTTTAGAGACTCCTGGTTTTTTGTTGTTTTTTTTTAAAATATAGATGCTTGAATATATTGTCGGATTCCTTGAATGCATTGTTTAATTAATTTACTGGTTTTTTTTTATAAAAAGGTATCTTAATCTAGTATGTTTTGTTTTCCCCTCAACATGTTGTCAACATACTAGTGCCTAATAAACTGAGGGTGCCTAATAAACTGAGGTTTATTTGACATATAGTTGAGAAGTTTATGATGTATTGATATAAAGCTTTTGCATCTAATAATTTCTCTTTCTTGTTATTTTACAGCTTTTAGATGAGTTACCTATGATCTATGGAGCAGCTTTCCATTTGTATTCAGAGTATGTTTATCTAATTTCCTCTGAAAGAATGTCATGAAGAGTCATAAACACAAGATTGATCAGCTTAAAAAATAAGACAGAGCATATGCCTTGCATCTTATGAATTTTTGTGTATTATCACGTTTTATGCTAAAGTAAAAAAAAATTAGTTTGTTTATATGCCAGTAGTTTATGAAACTCAATATCAAAAAAACGTAAATTTTTGCCAGCAAATATTTCTCACAAGAATCTTTGTCAATACCAATAACAATGAATATTTAATTTAATGACATCCATATGATATGTAGCATTTTCATGCCTTTATTGTGGTAACATTATAGGAGTAGACCTAAGACACATATATTATATATTTCTCCAGCTTAGAAGTCACTAGTCCACTGAATCATAAGAATCGACCATTACAGATTGGTCTGGCTATATATTGTGCTGTTGTCACTGCAGTAAGTAACAAAATGACAATCTAAATTACCAGATACTGTGATTTAAGTAACACTGCAATGCAGCATTTTATTGCATTAATTATACATGTAAGAGCACTTGTATTGTAAAGTAGTCACTTGACATTTAATTTGCATTTTTTAATTTTTTTTTTCAGTTTTACTTATTCAGCAAACATGTGATATTTTTTCAGGTAAGTACATGTATTGTATATGTGAGATTTTTAATTTTTAATGTGCTAAGAGGAATCTTAAATGCTAAAAACAAAAATTGATGGTATTGATTAATCATTTCATACAAGCTTTTGATATTTATTTTTTATTTATTTGGTATAACACCAAATAAAGAAATTTTCCATTAATGTCACTTAATCCTCTCCATCAGTCAATGGCTGACTGGCAATTGTACAGGTAAATCTGCACTTATATAAAAAAAAAATGCTCTTGATGAGCCAGTCCTTATCTCAGAACACTCCCATTTATCAATATCACCATTCATAAGGTTAATTCTGACTGTTAAAAAAAAGTCGAATAAAAAATGTACAGATAAGTTATGGTTGTACCACTGACATCTGTGACAAGTAAAAGGTCAGAAGCAGGTAAACAAAGCACTATGTCTATAATTCTTTTTTTTTTTTTTTGGAAGTCTTTCTTCTTTTTTTTTTTTTGGTTTCTCTTCTGTTTTTTTTAATTTACAAATTTTTATTTAAAAAATATTGTAGTTTTGTAAAAATTTATGCATGCAGGGCTGTGTAATTTAAAAAGAAAATGTACTATATTTTGTATGAATGTGATAAAGCAGTGGCTCTATTTCTATATTTTGTACCAATGTGATAAATTCTACACTAAATAAGATAAAAAAAAATACCTCATAAAAGAAATGAGAAATGTTTGGTTCTCACCTCAAAAGATCATGAAGAAGTGTGTATTTTGTTAATGTGTGCCAGAGCATACAGTATATTACCAGTGCTGTATATATACTAAGCATGTATTGAAAAACTTGTTTCATAATAAAAGTTTGAATTTCTACCTGTTATGTACACATCTTTTCTTTCAGGTTTCTTATGGTTTTCTAGTCACTTTAATGGTTCTCTCAAGTGTCAGGTTAATGTTGTAAGTACATGTATTAATCATTATAAACAGTTTTAATATTTTTAATATTATTCTATGTTTATTATGATACCACAGACAGTCTCAGTTTGGCTTCTGTTATCGACAGTTGTTTGTCATCTGCAAACCTGTCATATTATCTGTAATTTTCTGTTGGAATCACCTGACTAGGAAATGTTTCCCTTTAGTGAAGTTCCACTTAATCTTGCCAGTATCTTGTTAAACACCTGATATAAAGACCTCTATAGGTATCCTTCTTAAAGCAAATGAGAATGGTTAAATGTGGGCCATATAAAGGATCCTATTTCTTTTTTGAATATATAAGAAAAAAGATCCAGAATCATATAAAAGTAGATTTATTCTTGATAAAATCCCCCAAATCCTCCCAATTCATAAAATATATGTTATAGTAGTCTAGTGTTTCAACATTTTACATACCAGTACCTTTAGAATATAAATAAAAAAAAAAAAACTTTGTTGACATTTGTCATATTATTATAAAGTTCTTAAGAAATGTCATATTTGTTCAAATCATGAGCCTGTGGCTATAGAGTTGAGCCATAAAGAGGTACAGAGTTTTTGTATTTGGAAAAGTGCAAGCATCATTGTGAAGTGTAAATTATAATTTGTTCACCCAATGCATAATGTGGTAAAACCATGTGGGCTTGTATGCGGCCCACCCCTCATTTATTATGTTTTATCATTAACAGCATCACTTACACAAATGGTTACATTTCTTAAGGAAATATGTTTTAACCTGTATTCACATTACTTCTTGCACACTTAAAGACTAGCATGTTTATAATCACTGTTGGTGATCTGCACCGGGTAAAGCTCTACTCATATTGCATCATCTTGTCACCCTTTTTTACTTGCTGCGTATTAGCGATAATTATCCATCTAATAAGCTTACTTGAGACATTTGTGTTCTAATCATTGTTCAACTGTAAACAAAAATACATCATGTACATTTATAATGAAGCCAATACATGGCATCTATAATGTTAGGGCAAATAACAGAATGAATCAATAGTGAGAGGTGTAACATACTCCATAAATCACACACTAGGATTCTTACTTGACATACAGTGATATAAAAATTTAGTATATTTCACGAGGTAATTGACTAAACGTTTTTCTATCAATTTAATATTGTTATTAAAGGGCAATAACTCATTCTTTCAATGCAGATTCAGAAAGGTGTTACTACATGAAATAATCAAAGTACTGAAAGTACTGAAAGCCGGGCTTTAATATATTCGAGTGTATTGTCTAATCCTAAATTAGTACATATTTGAAAATCTTTCTTTCTGACCATTGATATTTAACAGGTAGAGTTTGTATGATTATGATTAACAATAACCCATCTACCAATAATTAAAATTTACGGTCCAGAACCCAACGTTAAGACCCCAGGATAGGACTTAGTGATCTTTTTAATGAAAATACATTTATACCTTTCTAAACATTAAGCTCACAATGGTTATGCATGGTAACAGTGCACTTTGAGTGGTTTTGCTGATTCATACAGGCACATACATAGTATCGGAGGAGCTATGGGTGTCACCATTTTTCAAACAAAAACTTTTACAATGGACAATGTACATTGAAAGGTTGCTTGACTCTTCACAATCAAATTTAAATTGGAACTTTCATCTCACTCTTCGTAATATAAACCAGGTATTTATCACGAGCGACGAACAGATTTACTAAAAGCAAAATGGATAGTCTAATTTTAATTAGATTGAACCCATCATTTTTTTGTAGCATATTAAAAGTACGGTAATTTGGTAATGAATTAATGAAATTCGAAATGTGAAAGTAAGTTGTAGCCCACCCCTATTCCTTCTCCAACGGAATAGGATTTTCGGGTTTGGACAATTCTCCTTTTTTCTGATAATGATACTACATGCCTGTATTAATCAGAAAAGAAATATTCTTTATTTTTGGTCCTCTAGGAAACCAGCTGCACGAAAATTATAATTATCTAATCTTTATGACATGACTATGAGTCTAGTTCTAGTTCCAGGTTCGGCCATAATGGTCATTGCCTGAGAAAATCATGATGTATTCAGGTCTTTATGGCTCGTACATAGATGGCTCTTCATTCTGAACAGGAAGTTTTGAAGCAAAGATTAACCAACTTTTTCTGAAAAAATTATAATGTGTTGTACTTAGATAAAGACTTATGAACATTTTTATATGTTGTTTTCTTTTAATTATATATTAACATAAACGATTTTTATTTCCCAGCACCCTTGAGAGCTTGCATGTGTTTTAAGACCTTTTTTTTGGAATGCGCGCGCACGCTCAATATACTGTAAAGCGCTTTGGGAGTACATACGAGATGAATCCAAGGTGAGAAGTCTCGAACAAAATTTTCACATTCAAAACATACCATTGACTTTTCACTAAAAATTTGATCTGAATTTGTAAGCATAAAAATTTTCGATTATTAAAATTTCGATTGATTATTAAATGGGTATATATTGGATCTCCCATGATTTGTAGTTGGATATGATTTTTATTCAACGAGTTGTGTGTTTTTTATCCCCGAGCCTTGGCGAGGGGATAAAAACACACAACGAGTTGGATAAAAGTCATATCCAACTACAAATCATGGGAGATTCTTTTTATCCCTTGTTTAATACTTCACAACCAATGTTTTACACTGTTTTATATAGGACACCACTTTATTTTACTTCATCACGCTAACGCAAAAACCATTGTGACGTCACAACTGCACTTAACTGTGGATTATGAAAAATTTATCCAATGAGTCATATCCACGGGATAAAGGGGTAAACATGGGATAAAAATAATTATTTTATATATTATACATAAACATATTCACATGAAATTTCTATCTTAAAGTTTACATTTTTATTTATTTATATTCCATGCTTCACAGAATATAAATCTTTATCCATTTAAGTCATTTAAATTAATACTATTAAATTAGAATATTAACCAAATGGAATCGCATTGTTTATTTCATATTATGAAAGAAAACAAATAGTTTTGAACTTCATTTACATCACCTTTACACAAGATCTTAGTCGCTCGCGTGGCGCAGTGGTAAGAGCGTCTGCTCTAGAGTCGCGAAGTAAGGAGTTAATCCTTACGTCGCGGGTTCGAATCCCACCGTGGGACGTGGAGACCGGTCCTTCCGTTGAGACCGTATAAACCGAGGTCCCGTGTCGCAATAGGTACTTGCACGAAAAAGATCCCTCACTGCTCAATGGCCGTAAGTGCCGAGTATAGGACAAAATTTGGAGCTCTCCACCGGCAAGTGGTAGTGTCTCCATATGAGTGAAAAAATTTTCGAGAGGGACGTTAAACAACATACAAACAAACAAACACAAGATCTTAACCATCATAAGGATTTTTGTTCGAAATTATTTATTAGAAAGGAGAAAGTTATTTTAATTGCATTCAGGGTTATCGAAGTAATACCGTATTTTCAAACCCTTTTCTTTAAACGCATTAAAATTTTAACTTTTTTATTTGAGTAGTAATATATTGAAAACATTACAGCATTACCAGTATTACAACTGTAAGATTAATCTTCATGAATATTTACATACATATATCATTAGGCTAAAAAATTTTTGTTTGTTTCCGGTTATACCCGACTGACCTCCTACACATTTTTTATTTTTTTTTTTTAATTCTACCAATAACATATGGCTAGTGAGGAGAATATATAAGTCATTTGTTTTATTTAATGTCACTAATTTAAACATTTAAGGTCACTAATTTTAACTTTTAAGAAAACAATTAATTTTTTACAAAAAATGTTTGTCTGTCAATTGCCAAACTTTTTTTAAAAAGAATGTTGAACCATATGGTTTGCTGATTTTTCTTCAGATATATTTGAATTAGAATTTAATTTTTTAAAAAAAAATTATATTCATATTGGTTTTATAATTTATGTAATTCATAGTTAAAGAAATGCACATATTTTTAGAGATATTCTTAAAGTTTCAAACAAACAGTACTTTTATCGCCGACTAGATACACCAGATACACCATGTACAATTGTCAGGCGACCTAATTCAGGTATAACGCACATTAATTAATTCTTTAAACTCCAATTTACTTATCTATTTATTTGCTGAAAGACAAAACAGAGAATATAACCACTCACATAACATCGACGAAAACGATATGAAATATAGTAACCTGTCGAAAAGCCCACGCTTATTGAAAATAGTTCGCTTACAATATGCATTCAGTAGCGTATGTGCACAAATTGTTATATCACGATTACCCTAATAAAGTAAATATCTAATTCCTCTTTCAATTTAATTCTCAAACAAAAATATTGATCAATTAACAATTCCGTAGATTGAGATGTAAAAAATATTTGTTTAAGTATTGTCTTTCAATATGACTATTTTGTTTATCGGAAGCGTCTGCTTTGACGCTGTTAGGCTTTTTGTTTACTTTTCTGAACATGTGCTATTTATAGTAAGGCAGTCGATCACGATGCCTACAGCCAGGACTTTGCTTTCAGCAAAGCCCGGCTAAAAACTAATCCGTATTCAAATTGAAATTCAAAATAATAAAGCTGTTTCAGAAGTGATTGAATAGTAGAACTATTGGACAATTTAACAAATAAATTCTAAAACTTTTCATAGCAGGAACAGTGTAATACTGGTACATGTATATGAATTTAAATTGATAACTAAATACATGTATGCTACGCTTTTCAAGAATTTATTTTTGTGAACATACCAGAACTCTTCCAAGACTCTGACTACATATTTCAGAAACTATGAGCACAACACGCCTCTGTATATAACTGGTCTTGTTACTTATATGACTGGCTTTATCCTCTGGAACTTAGATCAACATTTCTGTGGAAATCTCCAGTACGTATTGCTAATAGTATGAGGACTGTAAAATGCTGTTTTCTTGGATATTTATATTAAGAGTTGTATGAAAATATTTTTTAATTATCTAATTTTTGAATAAAGCAGAATTTTATTTGTATGCAGTAATAAGCATGCATAAACTGTTATTTCAAAATTAGAAATGTTGTAACAAAAATCTGAATGCCTTGATTCAGAACACTAGTAACAAGAACAAGTAGAAAATTTATCTGTATAACAAACTCAGAAGTATTAATAGAAATATAATGCTGATGAGTTGCATGAATTATAATAGCATGAAGTAATAATAGCTGTATGCATAATAACTGTTGAAATTTATCACCGTTTTGCAGGCTCATAAGAAAAGAATATCTAGGGGTGTTTGCACCAGTTTTCCAGCTTCACGCCTGGTGGCACATCTTGGCAGGGACTGGTACCTACCTCTCAGTATTATTTAGGTAAAACACAAATTAACCAAATTGTTGGGATTTTCTGTGGTTGTCCAATTTTTGCAGAATATGCAGGTCAATCAAATTTGCAAATATTATGAAAAAAATTATTTTTACTTCAGTGTTTGTGTATAGATGATGAACAATATCCCAGATCAATTTATAATAAAAAATAAGAGAAAGTAAATATAAGCACTCAGTTATTATTTTTTGATTTCATCAGTCATGTACAGCACCTGGCTGTGTCAACAAATTATCATACCACGCTAATGCTCTGTATTTGTCGGTATGGTCAGATGCTTGTTATACAACTGATAACATCCAAAAATAATAATTCAGTGCTTTAATAATTGAACTCAAAATGCAAAATTACTTTTTACTGTTAACTTAATATGATTCACATCATCTTGTATTAAAAAGAAGTGGATAGAATATCACTGTTGAATAATATGTACTAATTCAATAGCAAATGTTTGACAGCTAGATGATCAGGCAGTTACAATAATTGTCAAAATTTCTTATGGAGTTAAATAACATATGAGTTTACAGGAAGATTGACTTAGGGTTGAAAAATAAATCTCCTGTTTGTCAATTTGATGTAAATTCAAATATACACTTTCCCTTGTCAATTCTTTCTGTTCTAAAACTATAGTTGTATTTTTTCATATTTATACATGTATAAGTCATGAGTAAGCAGTTCCTTTTTTTTAGTGCTCACACGAGATATTTATACCTGGGAATGAAGCCTGAAATTAAGGTATGCTACTGTCTGTTTATAAATCTTATGTCAGAAAAGCTCTTCCTTCAAAAAGGTCATTATGTCTTATGTTTGGCTTCAGATAAAGACATTAAGTGAATTGGACTCTAAGGATTGTATGTGTGTTTAAAACATGCACAAAATTTTGTCGTACATTTTTTACAGTTTAGAAAATTTGCATTGTTTTTGATGAGACATATGCTCTTAAAACCAGGACTAGGAAAATAAAACTGATTAACTGTTCTCTTTGTATAGTTCTGGATGGGATTCTGGCCTTACTTAAGACTACGGAAGCAAAAGAAGGAGTAGATAACTCTTACCAGACTCACCATAGAGGCCGTCAAATCCTTCCAATTTATCTAACTACTGCCGTGTATACAATACGTTTACATGATTATACATCTATGCTCTTATTATTTTTGTATGCTTTGTGCCATCTATCAGACTATTTTTTAAAGGATATTTATAACTTTATTTAACATATTGTTTTTTCCTTAAAGTCAAAGAAACATATCATTTTTAGAAAATTAAATATTTAGGTATTAATGCATTCTAAAGAAAAAAATCAGGATTTTTGATATTTACACATGCACAATTTTTTTTATTATTGTTTGTTTTGTTATAGTTTAAAGCAGTTTAAGATTTATTATTGACAGTTGACTGTAGATTTGTGGTACCCGTATTAAATCCTATTCTGAGTCAAAACATATAGAACTGAGTTGAAAACATGTTCATGAACAAGTAATGCATCTTTTATCAAAGTGACTGCTGCTACATGTATAATCTAAGATGCTAGGGCATGAACTGGCCAATATTTTCTGCCTTTTCTGGACTTAGATTTTTTTTTCTAACTTTTTCATCTAATCTGAGAATTCGACTCTCAGGTCATTGTATTGAACAAGGTCATTTTAAATCTAGAAAGGAAGATAACATTCTAAATAAACTATTGGCCCGGTGTGTAGCAATGCTTAATTTTAAATGCTCATTGGAAAAACAAAACAAAACAGAACACAAAAAATCAGATCAGTTTAAATGAGTGTAGGTAAAAATCAGTGTTAGAAAAATAGTTATTCCCCCCTGAGGGTGATCATGGTATGTTGGTTTTCATAAATGAAATTCTACTTTGCTAAGAGAAGTAATTACCAGCAATCTTGCAGTTGAATATAGGATAAATAATATGAATTATACATACAGATAGATATGATCTGTTCAGTTTTGTTATAACATGGATTTTGCATGCATTAATTAATTTTTCTTGTAATTTTATATGTACTCCTGCATGCACAGAAAATTTAATTGGAGTACATTCACAAATATAAATATTTAGAATGAAAAATTCTACATTTCCATAAAAATAAGAACAAAACCAATTAATCCTTGATCTGCCTTTCTGTCAGTTTTTTTTCAAGCAATTTATTTTTGGACAAGGCTCTGTTTCATTTCATTACTCAGAGATTGGAATACAATTCTTTTTTTCCCTCATCAACATGACCTCAGATTTTGGGGTTGATACAATTTAGCTTTTCTCTCAATTACATGCAATCACAATTTTTTTTTCTTAATGGGCTTCTAAAATAAGGAGTAGTTCTGAAGAGGTTTTGCTGATGATTGTTCAGTATTACTGGATTTTTATGTTTATTGATGCTAATTAACTTGTAATTATTATACACGTTTTGTGATAAACATGCTTTTTTCCACAATAAATAAGCTTACTATTAGGACAATATCATTTTGTCTCCCTTTCAATGCAATAAATTTGGTTGGTGTATGTATGTATTAATTATATTACTATTATACATTGTACATGTACTTTTCTACTTGTATGTGTAAAATATGATTTGCATTATTTACACAGTGTTAGAGAATGTTTAAGAGCTCTTTATATAAAAGCTGATACTATTATTTGTAGTGATATCTGAACATTAAACACAGCCATGAATGACATGACTTAAAAGTGGTGAGTTCATTTCTTAAGTTCTGCATGACTTTTAAAATGAAGTTTATCTTCTTTTTTTCAGAATTTGTTGTAGTTAACTTTATAATGTTAATTATCAGATGAGGAACTTTGACCCAGTTTTGATATTTTGGTTCAGATGTTCTAGAGAAGTATAAGCCAGATCTTGAATATTACAGGGTATGCTAGCTTATTTTTTGTTAGCATTGTATATTTATTATTATTACATGTAAAACTTGAAATCCTTTATTTTGCTGAGTGATTTGTCTTGGAACTCACCAATATTAAGCTGTGTTATTTGTGACTGATTCATTGGTTGTGGGATTTTCCTATATATATATATATATATATATATATATATATATATATATATATATATATATATATATATATATATATATATATATATATATATATATATATATATACAATGTACATACGCAGGTGATTATCCAATGTAGATATATGTACATGTAGATCAAATATAGAGGTTGTGTTATTGATCAGTAGTTATAGTTATGTAATACATTATAACGGAGACAATATGTCATTAGCCTGCCTTCATTTCTCACACAATTTTACAAAGGGTTTAAATGTTTAAAAAAAAATGCAATGAAGTATAAAGGAATGTTAACTTAAAGAATATACATGTAGGTATATATCTGTCAGAAAATGTGACCACATGACTAAATTTGTTTTTGATTTTTTTTTGGTGTGCTTGTTTTTTTTTTTTTTTATTTGACTGTATTACATTAATAGTCACTGATGCTATTCACAAAAATGAAGACACAATTATTTATTTGTGAATTTTCTTTATAAAAGAAGGATATGATTTGCATTTCAATTTTGGAAAAAAAACTGTACCAAACATTGCTGTAAAATCAAATTGACTCAATCAAATATACAGTAGGACGTGTACTAAAATTAAACTGACCTAATCAAACACAAAAGGACCCTGCACTAAAATTAAATTGGCCGAATCAAACACAAAAGAATCATGCACTAAAACTGTATGAAGCAAACACATGGGAAATTGACTTATATAAAAGGACCCTGCACTAAAGTTGAATGAAACAAAAACACAGGAGGACCCTGTGCTAAAATTAAACTTACCGAATCACACACAGAAAAGCCCTGTATTTTTTTTAAAATGCAGGACCAGTTTATCTTCCTTTCTATCCAGGTAGCATAATTAAGGGGACCTGGTGGTCAACAAATTACCCAACAGATCCACCTAAGTGTATTAAATATGATCTAGCCATAAACCATTACATGTACATGTATATAGAAAAGAAGAAAAACCACACATGTTCCAGCTATAATATTTAGTGAAGTTTTCTATATTTTTATAGAGAGTTCCTTTTTTCCGGGAGGTTTAAATAATTTAAAAATGCAGCCAAGAACACCCCATCCTCTTCAGTCATTTACACAATATTGATATCATTATGTTTTATAACTCTAATGGTTAAGCAGGTAGACTCTACTTATCATGATAAACAAATCTACATGGTATTTTGATTTCCTTAACATTTTGAACAAGAAAAATGGAAATATTCAACTGTTGTGAATGACTTGAAATGTTTTGAGAAAATATGGCATATGATTATGGTGCTACTCACAGAAAACATTGGCATTTGCTCTCTTAGGATGAACATTTTTAGATTCCACATGGGCATTTTATTTATGATGTGTATTAACATGCTCTTTTGTACATTAATCAGCATGTCCAGTAACAAAATACATGTTAAGGTTCATTCCATGCTTATCATATGCAGTCAAAAGTAATTAAGTTATAAAAATTCAAGGAGGATAGAATAAAAACAAACAAAAAAGTTAGTACATTTGATTAGAATTAAAAATGATATCTAATGAACCCCTCAATGTACATTAAAAATCATGATGATATTTTTTAAAACATTTTATTTTTTATTACTCATTTATGAAGCTGTCTTGCTTTAGTTCACATTTACTTGTAAGAATGCTCAAACTTGGTGCCTCATCAGATTATCTATTCTTCCTCTTATTTTTTCTTTCTTCATAATATGCTTTTTATGAGAGAGTATTTGTAGTCTTTATTCCATGTTGAATTGTATACTTTTTGTATCCTTAATAAAACTTTTTTTTTTAAAATAAAACTTGTTTATCACATCCACAACCAACATCCCATTTAAATACTTTATACAATGTACAATCATGTATTCTTTTAACATAAAAATGTATGTCTGTCATTAGAGGGAAAACTTACTTTTTGGGAACCCAGTGAATTTTTTTTCATTCAATTTTAAACTGACAAGAAATACATGTATTTTTTGAAATTTCAAAAATTTGAATTTTTCACTTCATTTTTGTTCATTGATTAAATAATTCAGTTACATATTATTATAATAAATATATACATGTAGATGTATTATTATAGTGGGATTTAAAATTATTTTACATACATAATGATCTACAGCAGGTTAGCAGAGAATGTTAAGTACATGTAAATGTTAGATATCTGCAGTAGGCTAGCAGAGAATGTAAAGTAAATGTTAGATATCTAAAGCAGGCTAGCAGAGAATGTAAAGTAAATGTTAGATATCTACAGTAGGCTAGCAGAGAATGTAAAGTTAATGTCAGATATCTACAGTAGGCTAGCAGAGAATGTAAAGTAAATGTTAGATATCTAAAGCAGGCTACCAGAGAATGTAAAGTTAATGTTAGATATCTAAAGCAGGCTAGCAGAGAATGTAATGTAAATGTTAGATATCTAAAGCAGGCTAGCAGAGAATGTAATGTAAATGTTAGATATCTACAGCAGGTCAGCAGAGAATGTAATGTAATCATTAGATATCTACAGCAGGCTAGCAGAGAATGTAATGTAATCATTAGATATCTACAGCAGGCTAGCAGAGAATAAAATGTAATTGTTAGACATCTACAGCAGGTTAGCAGAGAATGTAATGTAAATGTTTGATAAGCATATCCCAATGTAGTTGTTATATATTTCCCAATGTTTGTTGTAGAATACTAGATACTAGATTTTCGGTGGATGGAAGAAATCAAATAATTTCGATTCCATTTTTCTTTTCGTTGAACACTGGCATTCTTCATACAATGTAGTATCGAGTTTTGGGCAATGAAAACCAAATGAGTGACATTTTAAGATCACTACTGATTTTTATGTTATTCAAAACCATAATATTCCATGCTGTTTGGGAGTGCATGATCTAAAGTTTTCTGTTATTTTTGTCTGCAGAGTTTAAGAATTGTAACTTTGTTTCCAAAGCAATGTAGTTTATTATATTTTCCATATTTCAAAAATCTCAAAATTACAAATTGTTACTGTGATAATAAAGTAATTAAAAATATTTATATTACTGCATTATTTTTGTAAGTGTGTGTTGAAAGTTGCAGAATAGAAAAGCACTTTTGCTCCTAACTGAGCAGTGTTTTTCACCACAGTTCTAAATTCCGCCCAGGCCAGTGCCTTGCTGACATGGAAAAAATCAACATTTTGGGGTACTGGGGACTATTTGCAAAACTTCTTTCCAGGACAGATTTGGTCAATAGGTGAACCTGTTGAATAAACATTTACCTTGTCAGCAAATACAATTTATCATTAAGTCAAATGCTGACTGACGTTTTTCATACTAATTGTTAGGCCATTATTTACATGCTGAATTGTCAACGGATTTTTCCATTATTTCCCGATCATGACAAGGAGCACACGGTGGGTGTGACCAGTCGGCAAGGGATGCTCACTCCTCCACGGCACCTGATCCCACCTCTGATGTTTTAGAGGTCTGTGTTTGCTCTGCTCCAAATTTGTATTGTTTAATGGACATTTGAGCTTTAATAAATACTCTTCATATATATATTTAAATATACTTCATGCAAGTACTTGAAACATTTCTTTTGTGTCAAAATTTTTTACATGAATACTTTGATCACTTATTCTTGGGATATTTTGGTATTATTTTTGAGGAATTTTGGAAGGGAGAACTACTAAAATCCAATGGTAATTGTTATTTATAAACATGAGGCATATGGGCCACAATGCTCCCCTGAGTCACTGGCCCTGCTGTTCATCACATTTTCCCCCTTGTATTAATTTGATTTCCCATTGTGGCCCAATTAACCCTACCCCCCGGGGTCCATTATTTTAGCAATTTAGAATCTACACTATCTTTTGGAGCTTCCACATAAGTTTCACTATTTCTGGACCAGTGGTTCATGAGAAAAAGATTTTTAAAGATTTGTCCTGTATATTTCAATGTAAACTTTGATTCCCTATTGTGGTCCCACCCTTCCTCCAGGGGGTAATGATTTGAACAGTTTAGATTATACACTACTTCTGGAAGCTTCCACAGAAGTTTCACTATTACTAGCCCAGTGGTTCTTTAGAAGAAGATTTTAAAAGATTTTTTTCTACCCCCTTGGGGTAACCTGTGAGGTCCATAATTTGAGCAATTTAGAATCTCACTACCTCTGGAAGCTTCCACATAAGTTTCACTATTCCTGGCCCAGTGGTTCTTAAGAAGAGGATTTTTAAAGATTTTAAAGTCCTGTATTTTTGAATGTGAACTTTGATTCCCTATTGTGACCCCACCCTTTCCCCAGGGGGCCATGATTTGAACAGTTTAGAATCTACACTACATCTGGAGCTTCCGCATAAATTTCATTATTTCTGGCCCAGAGGTGGAACCAGTGGTTCTTGAGAAGATTTTTTAATGACCTCTCTTATTTTTGTCTTTTCTTGATTATCTCCCCTTTGGAAGAGGGTTTGGCCCCATTGCCTCATTCTAACAATTTAAATTTCCTCTTTACCCAAGGATGCTTTTTACCAACTATTACTTTGGCTAAAATTGGCCCCGAGATTCTTGAGAAGTTGAAACTTGAGCTTTCAGCTCAGGTGAGCTAAAAACATTGAGTGATTTTTTTTTTTTTACATTTTCAGTGAAAGTTACCTGTATAAATGCTATTGTAAACATACTTAACATTATAGTGGTAATCATATTTTATCACATTTTTGCCAACTCTTATTTTTTAATTCAAGTACAGACTTATATATGATTTGAAAGTACCGGTATATATAAAGAAGCTTTGCTGCAAATGCATTGATTTATTTTAATGCTATTCAAGTGATGAGCATAATTGCACTATATTTATTTTGAGTGCACTAATTCATATACATTCATTTACAGTATTAGCAGAGTATACTTTAGTATGCCTTAAATTCCAGTAGCCTTCCAGTTTTGTCTTGGTCAGCTGGGAACTTATTCTATTTCTACACACAACTCTCTTTGAGTTAGCTGTGAGTTCATGTGTTTATACACAACTTTGCTAAAAATCTGATCGTTGGTTTTCAGATTTTTTATCAACCACTGCTTGTATTATTTCTTGAATTATCCCCTCTTGTTTTATGGTTACTTTCTTTTTGTAAGTGTAAGCCCTGGGTCCAAGAATATTCTATGACAAATATGTTGAATATTGTTGCAGAGGACCTTGAGTTATATTTTTGGAAAAAGCTGACATACCAATTGGCTGAAATGAGTCGCAAGATCATAAAACGATCCACTTAAACGAAGTTCTAATCAACTAAATTGTCATATAGATTAATGTGGCAAGCATTTATATCATGACATTTCTTAATGTTGACTTACAACACTTCAAATTTTACGTAGCATTTTTGAGTAATATTACATTTTATTATATGATTGAATAATTTCCCTCTTTCTGATTGGCTGAGATCCAACAATGTTAGAAAAATACTATGTTATATTGACCTACACGTGACCTTCCAGGTCAATATAAGGAATTATTGCAGGTCAATATAATGAATCACATGACCTTCCAGGTCAATATAAGGAATTATTGCAGGTCAATATAATGAATTATTCCTGTTCCATTTTTTCATGTTACAATGTGTTCTTGTTGAAATTTCTCGTTAAAACTTACAATTAAAGCAAAAAAAAAAAACAGTCTTGTAGGAGTTTGCTATCATTTAATCATATAATAAAACAGTTATTGCTGTTTTTTGAGGTCAATACGATGATTTAGGCACCTTCGGGCTCGGTAAATATTGTACTTCTCAGGTGTCTAAATCATCGTATTGACCTCAAAAACCAGCAATAATTGTATATTATGTCTGATAATCTTTTTTACATCTTAAGCACACTATGGATATCAAGTCAATAACATTGTTTATGAAAAATATTTAGGAACATATGCTGCGTGGAATATCACAGTTAAGGGATAATGTGGATCTAAACATATTGTTTTGATAATCCACCAGTAATTTATCAACCACTGGACTGGATCCACTAAATATCACTGAAATGGGACATCTTCCAGGAATCATTCAAAATTATCTTGTACAGTACACTGTAACCACATTCACTGATGCACATCTCACACAATTCTTTAGCCTGATACATTTTGGCCATAGACTTTATCAGCTATTCATTTCTTCTACTAAAGAGTCTACCATATCATCTATAGTTAGAGGTTTTTGTAGCATTCCTGCAATTTGAGAAAAAGAAGCAACATGTTTTCAATCAAGCTAGACAGATAAGCAAAAGTTAAAATGTTTGGATTTCAGAACAGAGCAATTAGGAACAGAGTATACATATACCTACCACTAATTAATTCCTGGGGAGGAATTTCTCCCCCATAAGCCAAGACTTCCCTCCTAAATCGCTCTCCTACCTCTCTGTAAAATATAAAATTTTGAATCCTCTATCTAGAAATTCTAATAAATAATAGATATACACTGTTTGTACAGTAAAACATGCTTATAGTGAAGTGCAGAGACAAACAGATTTGATTAGATGCAAGCGCTATTCATTATATTAGATAAGTTTAAGACACATGTACATTTTAAAATTATGGGGAATGAAAATTACTTTGCATGAATTCATTATAAGTATGTTTGCTGTAACAGTGTTTTTAGTACATATATTCAATGTACAAGAGATGTCAATGCTAATTACATGTAAATATACAACTGTACTAGATTTAATCAAGATTACAAAGTGCATTGCTGATCTTTTAAAGATTTAAACTGGATAATAATAATGGAATATAAACACACAAACTTCATAGAATAATTGTTTGCTCTGATTGAAGAAGTCATAGATAGTGACGTACATTAGTTCCCCTTTCTGCTGTCAGTTGAACACAAATTCACTTACCTAATGACAGTCTCAATTATACCTACCTGCTGACAGTGGCCTTCATGTAGTCAGTAACACATCATTTAAGTCTTGTTGAAAATGTCTTGCACAATCATCTACATGTACCTGTTATCAATTACCTTTACTATCACCTACCTGCTTTCACTGACCTACGTATGCACATGTAGATAAACTGTAGAGGCTTTTGGTTGAAATTCACCTACATAAATACTAGTGTTGTCAACGGGTACCCGGTTAACCATCGAACGATGCAAATATCGGTTAGTAAAACTACTCGGTTACTCGGATATATAAAATTTTACATGTTAACATGTTTAAATCGGCAGGAAAAAATGTAATTTTGTTTTTATATTTCCTTATTTTATTTACCGTTATTTAACGATAGACTCGACCCAGCATTTTACAAATACAATCAATTTGTTTTGATAAGTATTTCACAGCTTATCTAATTGGTGGCTTTCATTGCTAAGGGGTATACGCCTTTTGAAGGCTTGAGTTAATTATAATTACTTCACACGAATCGGCTCTAGTCCGCAGTACAAGATTAAAGAGGACACCGCCAATTTTAAAATGACTGAATTTAAATCCATAAGGTGTAAAATATTTGAAATGGATTTAACATATAGGGGAGGGACAACAAATATACTAAGATTGAAATTTAACTCTGAAACAAGCGATATATTATAAAGGACATCCCGCAAAACAGCAAACTATTAAGGGATGTTCGAGAAAAAAATATTTAGAAGATATTTAATATTGTGTGTTTATTATTAAGAATAAAGTTCAAAAGCAGTGCATTTAATTGTGTTTTATAAGCAGTGCATTTAATTGTGTTTTATATATAGCGGTATACTAATGATAAATTTATATAGCAATGTTAACGACGTTACATATACAAAATGTATTTCAGGTACCATTGAACATATATACTGCAAAAAAGGATGATTTGAGATCTATAGAAAAACCATCCGAGTAACCAGTTACTCGATCGGAAAAGTAAGCGAGTAACGGTTACTAAAAATCGTCCGATTTGACAACACTAATAAATACCTATGGGGTTGACACTGACATACAAAATCATATGATGTTTTCAGTGACATACATAGCCTACTTTCTGTTGAAAATGTTTGATACAAATATATAAAGACAATTACCTGTTCAGTGGATCCTCCTTGAAGCACTGCTGCCAAATCTTAGAAGCCACAGCTCTTGACATCAGGTAAGAATAATATCTGGCCCCGTAGCCATTCAAATGACCAATCCGCAGGTGTGGAGCCTAACAAAAAATTAAAGAGTACACTGATGTCATATGTATTGTGAATCTGAATGTCAATATACTACATATTGTTAAATGTTTTCTCTTGAAATAAAACATTCTAAGAACAAGTTTAGTATTCAGTATCAAAGAAGCTACTTCCATAAAGACCTACACATGTAAACAAGTCAGATCAGACTTGGATCTGGACTACAATGATGTACATGTATATTACAGAGTTACTGACCCTCTTGTTTCTCAACTGTCCAGGACTTACCGTGCCTTCAACATATGGCACCCCCATATACTGGTTGTGGATTTCGGCGTACAATTCTGTCGTGGATTTACCTAGCGGATGTTCTCCATGTAACTTCTGGCTCAGCATAGAGTACACAATTTGGAGCTGCATTTCCTAAAGGTGGTGAGAAAAGATGAGAAAGTAAATACATTATGCATGTCAATGTGCCTGCATGAGTGTAATCCATAAGTAGTATTACTGGTGCATATAATAACACACTATGATTCAGTCCTTCTGTTTTCTTTAGATTTAGAATTCTGCACATTTTGAAAATTGCATGACCAGATACATGCAAGTAAGGACCTCTTTTTCTACAGTGTATTGCTTTTATTTCATAATTTTATAGAATATACTTACTGATGCTGAAAACATATTGCTGGCTTTACAAAATTTCTCAATGGCATCCAAAGGTAAGAGTTCCCCAGTGCGAAAATGGCGAGCGAACAAACTTATCACCTACAAACAGATGGTCAGCTACTCAGAATCCATAATATATATGTATATAATTCAATAATTAAAATTAATGATAAAAAGTATCCTCACTCTGGGATCAGTAGCAAAAAATTCCATAAATTCAGAAGGAACTTCCGCAAAATCTGTGGGGCACCTTGTTCCTGTCAACAAAAAAAAAATCCTGCAGTATTCTACTTTGTTAAGTATGTGAAACTGCAAAGCAATATACGTAAAGTGTCAAATGTCTGTCACTTATAAGACTGAAAAAATTCCCCCTATTCTAAATGATCTGTGAACAAATAAAATAGTCAAGGACCTTATGTTTAACATGCTTTATAAGCCGCCATTATTTGCTGAATCTCTAGAGATTCTATGCTCAAAATAAGTTTTATTTATCCAGAATTACAATGTACTTCATTAAATGTTCAATATCGTCTTGTATAAATTCCTTAGCAAATGTTTAATACTGGCAATGGCACTAACATTATAATGCAACATATCAAGATAAATGGTTTACCTTGGTAAGCTACAAACCCTATTGACATGTAAACCAGAAGTCTCTGACGAGACTGTAGCTCTACTGGTTGCATTTATAAAGGAAGATAAAAGTAGCACTTGGACTTGAAACTTTGCAACAGCAATAAATAGAATAATGATCCTTTGTTTAGACTCTTTTGTGGCAAGATTTATTATTATATCAGACTAAAACTGTAGGAGGAGTAGCCTTTTAAAACAATTTTACAGAAATTTTGATTTAAGTAACCATGGCAACATCATTCAACAAAATCAAAAAACAATAACAGAAATTATGTATCTCTGTAGTCTACTTGTATGCCACATTATACTGAAATCAGACAAAAAGTGTAGGAGGAGTAGCGTTTTGAAAGTATTTCAAGAAAATTTCTATTTTTAATAACCATGGCAACACTGTTCATCGAAATCCGAAACTGGTACAGTGAATTATGTATCTAAGTGTAGTTTACTTGTGTGCTAAGTAATACTAAAATCAGATCAAAACTGTAGGGGTAGCATTTTGAAGGTATTTCAAGGAAATTTCTATTTTTAGCAACCATGGCAACAATGTTCATCGAAATCAGAAAATCAATATAAAGAAATATGTATCTTAGTGTAGTCTACTTGTTTGCCAAGTTATACTGAAATCAGACCAAAACTGTAGGAGGAGTAGCATTTTGAAAGTATTTCACGAAAAAATTTCTATTTTTAGTAACCATGGCAACACCTTTCATTGAAATCAAAAACTGATACACAGAATTATGTATCTTATTATAGTCTACTTGTATGCCAAGTTATATTGAAATCAGATCAAAACTGTAGGAGGAGTAGCATTTTGAAAGTATTTCACAGAAATTTCAATTTTTAGTAACCATGGCAACAATGTTTATCGAAATCGGACGGACAAACCAACAGCTAGACAGATGGACGGACGACGGACACCTTACTATCGCATAAGCTCTTCTGGTCTCTGACCAGTAGAGCTAAAAACAATCACAAATCTCATGGATATTTTTTACTTGGGAAAAGAACTTTGTTTACAGAAAATACTTCTATCATTTTTGAGGATTCATTATTATTTTTTGTGGGGAGGTCCATTTTTCATGGGTGCCCTTTACTCACAAATTTACAACTTCAACTAATCTAAAAATATAGGTGGCATCTTTTATAACATTTTAAAAAAATTCTGCAGTTTACATCCCCTGGTACATTGTTACACTGACTCTAAATCATAGTGCATAATGTAAGAAAACAAACCTGTGACATGTTGATACTTTGTCCTTCCAAGCATGGAATGCATAGCATGCCCAAATTCATGGAAAAGATTTCTCATGAGGCCAGGGGTCAGGAGAGTAGGAGCGTTGTTCTGGGGTCGGGTCAGGTTACAGTTCAGGACCACGATAGGGAGCTGGTAGGTACCGTCATCTTGTTCTCGTCCTCCACGTATTGTACAGTGACAGTCCTTAGGAGAGAGAACTTAACACATTTATTTGTCCAATTATTTTGACTTTCAGATTTTAAAACGATGATAATTTTCCTATTCAGTAAAATGACAGTGGTTGTTATTCTAAAAATTTCTAAAGTACAAGTACATGTGTAATCTTTTTAATAAATGACTTAGTTACATGTTCTCATAATATTTGCAAATCAAAGTTTTACATTAATTTTCTGTATATGCATTTAATATCACTTTACAAAAATCTGCCTACAACCTGAAGTGTAATTTCACATACATGTATAATCAAAGTTTCAGATTTGAACTGAAAACTATCACATGCAGTAAATACTAGGTACAGTTGAACTTTGATATCTTGAATACCATGGTTATGTCATGAGTTAAAAGTCATAATCACTTTTTTTTTATGTATTTTAACATCGATATCTCGAATCATTTGATATCTCTCAGTTTTTTCTCAGTCCCATTGGGTTCAAGATAACCAGGTTTGACTGTTTATTTATAATCTGTCAAATTTTCTCACCATCATATGCTTTCCCTGTCTCTCAAACAAATCACAATAGATATAACCCAGGACTCCTTCTGTACTGTGGACCGCTGCCTGTTGTCATGGAATGGAATGTGTTTACAACATCAAAAATGTACATTACTCAAAATTTCAATCAAATTGTGGGAATATCAAAAAAAAAAACTACCCACCAGCTTATAAACATCATCAGACCACAGTTCTCCATACTGAGGCTCGACAGTCTGTAGAGACACGTCATATAAACTCTTCAGCACTATATTTATCCCCTCCATACAGTTACCCAGGGAAAAATACGGAGCAATCTCATCACCGCTGATATCATACCTGTAACATATATTTTTAAATCACTCATAAATGCTAAAGTATTCTCTAAAAAAAATTGTTTTTCATACAGACGTAGACAAAGTATATTGGATAGTAAGGTTAAATTGATGGTACATGTACTGACTTGAGGTGTCTGCCTAGTGCCGAGTAGTAGGGAGTGTCCCAAGGTCGAAGTACCTACAAAGTAAGGTAGCAGTATTATCACTAGACCAACATGTGTCATAATTTATGTTCACATTTAATATAAGAATGGGAGAGATACAGTGGCTCTCATTTCAATCATTCTGCTACTTTGGATCAGAAATGAACAGTTACGACAACATTTTGAATTCATTGATGTCAAACATCACTAAATCTTTCAGCCTCCATAACTTTGTCATGAGCTGAAATTGATGGCTTTATTTCTACTGTAGGTGTCTCATTGTGAAAGCAGAGGAAATCTTCAAAGGTACCACATCACTAGTTGATCCTCTTTCTCTCTTCAGTTTCAGCAGCTCTTTGTGTTCCTTGTCTGCCCTGCAAGCAAAATAAATGATGCCTTAAAAATGTAATCAAATCTTTATCACTATTTAATTTTACTGTAAAGCAACTTTTATTCGCCTGCGAGAAATATTGCAAGTTTTGCAACCTTCTTCAACTTGCAAATAATAATCGCTGCGAACCAATTATTTTGCTTTGTATTTGTAGAGAATGTTTCCTCAGTCGTAAAAAACAATCATCGTGGATTGATTTCAAACTGACAAATCGCGAATAAAAGATGACGTGAATAATAGCTGGTTTACAGTATTTACAATGACATATTTTGAAAATAAGTAGTTGACATAATGATGGTATTTGACATATTCATACATGTACATATATTAGAATTCATAGATGCTTTTTTAGAAATGAAACTGCCACTATTTAGAATCTGTATTTTAGGGTATATTTGTGTTTAACATGTCACATGACATCTCTGTTAATTGTTTATGTGTAACAGCAGTAAATGGGGCACTGGTAGAAACTTACAATGGTTTTATCCTTTCTGACAGAGCATTTAGAAAATCCATCACCATTTCTGAAAAATACAAAAATTATTTTAACTCAATGATTCACTTTATTTTTCAAGTTTCACTATGGTTTAAAGTAATTTAGTAATATCTTATACTTGTGTACAACTGAGCCAATTAAATTTGTGAGCTAAAATATCTATATCTCTACACTATTCCTGCATAAATATATGTAGGTTCAATAAATGACCTTTGGAAAAATGAGTACCTGGTGTTTCTGCTAAAGTTCCCTTTAGTGCCCGATGAGCAAATGTTGGAAATCCAGCTAGGGTGGCTAACTTATGTCGATTCAAAATGAGAGCATCCAGGAGTTTTACTTGACTCTCGTTAGGATAGTGGTATACTCTGTATGCTGCCTCTCTTACCTAATTAAAAACAATGTGTGTTTGAGAAACAATGTTCCTTCCTCTCTACACTGTTAATTGTGACCAGAGGCTTGTTTTGATGCAGCAAGGTCAATTTGGACAAGGTTAAGGTCATAAATGGAGAAGTATAAAATAACTTCCAAACAGAGAAACATACGAAGCTAATACATTTACTTGAGACACATTGTTGTTTGCGACTCTAGGGTATAATCTGACCTTCATCCAAAGTATTTGGACAAGGTCACTGATCTTAAAAATAGAAAATTCTTGCTTTCTTCATGCAATTTCTCAAAACATAAACATTATTTATTGACTTGTCAATTTCAAGTCTCTTTATTGTTAGCCTAAGATAAGATAAGATGTTTATTTGGTACTGAAAGGCCATTGCCCACTGTACATTTAGGCATCATATTAGTCTAACAATATGCATTTGATTTTCCTAATGTTTAAAAAGCAGAGAATATCATATTTTACTTTAAGGAAATATCATAATGTTTATAGAAGCATCATCAGCAATATAAGCCAATATTAGATTTTCAACATGCCATGGGAGATCATTAATAAAGATGAAAAGGGACAGAAAATAGCCAGCGTTTATGGAGAACAACTTTAATTCTGCTTTACAGATACAGTACTGTATTCAACACATATTGAACCCACCTGATCATTCCAATTGTCCAGGTGAGCACCACTAATTACTGCATCATCACCATCCAGGTTAAAACTGTAAATGATCAAAACATTAGATTCAGGGTCAAGGCATGTATAAATATAACAGGCTAATTATATTGAAAAAGTTTCTGCTATCTTCTGAAATAAAGCCAATTTATTTCATTGATATCAAAACCCATATCAAATATCAATTTACTCTGACAGACAAAATGAACAGAGTAGTGAAGATTAGTTGTAGTTTTGATCCCCCTAAGTACTTGCCAGTATCGGAGGTGTTCTGGCAGTCTGTCCTTGGGAATTATGGCTGATGACTGACATCCTTGCATAAACATATTGCCAGTCATGATCACATTCTCTGACAACTTCACATATTTTTTCTTCTGTTCAACCAAAAAATACAAATACTGATTTATGGTAGCAAAACATGTATAATGTGTACATTACGAATCATAATTATGTACATATTTATGATAAACCCCCCTTTATCCTTAAACATAGCAACTACCAGGTTTGTTTGATTTTAAAAATACTCCTAGGAATGAGAGATAATCAATACAATAAAATATTTAATTTGATTAAATACAGACACAGATTACATGTATTTCCATTGTAACACACGTTACATAGAACACTAACATAGCAGATAACAATCGGAATTAAATAATGTTAAATATTTCCTAAAGACCTACATACATTTTATAATCTTTAAAAAAAAAAGGCAATGTTTTATTGTCATAAATGATAAATACGATTTACATACATATATAATCCTATTGTTTAGTACCAGAAATCTAAAAACAAATCCAGCCAACTCCAACTTAAAATAATCGCTTTGATCATACCTTGTCCTCTGACAGATGACAGCCACTCAAGTCAAAGTCAAACTTAAACAGCTCTCCCACGCGTTTATCTACTGCGTTCATTGGTAACACATCCTCTCCCTTTTCTAGTGCCTCTTTCAGGACATTGTAAATAGCTGTGTTGGTGTTCAAACTACAGAACAAAACAGAAAACCAAAATAATTTTAATTCTACTGTATAACTGCAGCTCTAGATTTTCCATTAAAATGCATTACAAGAAGTTTATTCACAGTACTTTACAGAATGAAGTTCACTTTGTTTCAGACTTTATTTTCACTGTAAAAAAAGAAGGTTTTAGGTTTGCTGTACCATTTATATTTGAAATAAATTTATACACATAAAAGTTGATCTGATGTTAATAAAATTTCAAATCTTTGTTTTTTCAGTTGTAAGATTAATGTTAATATAAGCTTCCAGTGATTGTTTTCTTTAGGACTTATGACTTTCCCTTCACAAGTTAATAAAAAAAAAACTTCTATATAACAGATAATAATTTGGTTCAAATGCTGAACTATAAAAGTTTAATTTATTTAGCAAAATGAGAAAGTTCTAAAATTTGCAAAAGTTTTTTTTAACTGTCTCCAGAAAAAGTCCAGTATGGCGATCTTAAATTTGATGCAGACTGAGAAAAATTTAAAATATCCAAGGATTTGAGATATTGAGAAAAAATACAAGAAGAAAAAGTGATTGGGAATTCCAACTCTCTCTTTGACATTTCTATGGTATTCAAGACATCATCATTGCATTAGATGTATACTCATAATTCTTACATTAATAATCAAGTCTTCAGAACATTTTATTTACCTCTCTACAACATTGGACAAGTTAACAACAGCATATTCTGCTGCCAGCTGATAGTCTCGATTAGGATGGGACACTCTGACAAATTCTGCCTGTAACCAATAAAACAGAAAACTGACCACAAAATAGAACATTCCTTTCAGTTTGTGTAACAAAGATGTGCATGAACATGCAAGGTCTACTGACTATTTTTATATAAAATTTCAAATTTATAAAACACATAAAAGGGCTATTTAATTAGGTTTTATGAATCAAACATTTTTCAAAGTTGTCTCTGTTCTGCTACTGATAATAAAAAATTAAAGTAAGAGATTTGCACTGCAATTTCCTAAATGAAATTATATACAAATAAGGACAATCAAATTTTACCAAGTCCGCTACACAGCAGAGAGTGTTAGATATCTCATCAAATATGGTGACAATTTTTCGTTTTCTTTGTGGAGAAAGGGCTTCCTCCACCAGTGTCTCCACTTTGTATTCCACTTCCCTACGGAGAATGTCAAAGCCCTGGAAGGACTTCAGCTCAGGTATTAGTAGCAGTCCCTGTATAATAATCACAAAACCATATCAAAAGAATTATACTAAACATTGCACATACTATCTGATGAACATTGCAGGTACTGTCTGAATTATTTTTTTAATATCTGAATACTTGTTAAAGATCATGTAAAAATTGTAATTGTTATTAAAAAGATGTTAGATCTGGATGCATATACCTTATTTTCTTTGTTACTAAAGAACCATTCTGACTTTTTGGGTGTTGGAATGGAGTTGAACACAGATCCCAAAGGTGACAGCGTGGAAACATATTTTCTGGCACCTCCAAAGGCCCTCAACAAAGCCAAGGATCTTTTGTGTAAAAGCCTCATCTTTTCCTGTAATGATTAAAATATTTTCATTAATAAAAATTCTTTAGCAAGTAAATTAAGTTACTGTGAATTATATGTTATGTGACTTTATTGTTATTTTCCAATCCATTCCTAATTGCCAGCACAGCGAGCGGTGCAAAGTGCAGCTTGACACTGCAAACTCCTAAAGCAACGCCTTGGCAAAGAATTCGGACTGAGAACATTGATCCAAATTTTTTTGTGCAGTAACCTCAAGACCCATCTTGCTGCTACCTACGTTCTTGCGGTAACAACAAAAGTTTACCAAATAATAAACTCACCTTGATTTAATGGATATTGCAGATACTTATTGGATTAAATGTTCTTTGTTAAAATTTGCATTTTTTAGACATTGTTACCCTAATGCAACTAACATAAGTCATGTGATGTCACAGTCTAGATGTTCCTAATATCTCATGGGTTTTGAAGAGGCGGATATTAGTTAAAACTGAATAGGTATCAGCATCTGCACTCGCCATAATGGTCGCATCATCAACATATTACATGTAGTATTATACTATATATGACCTTTCTGTAACAAAACATTTTCAATCTCTTTGTTTTAATGTAGAATTATGTATTTACGGTACAGCAGCTTATGCAGTTAGACTTAGTTTCACTAATGCCATATTTTTAAGAAAATACTGGTAGTTCTTGCAAAAACAATGTAATTTATAGTAAGTGCAGCTAGCACTGCAAGCTCTTAAAGCAACTCATGGGCGAAGCTAAAATACTAACTATGCACATTGATCCAAACAAATTTTTTTTTGGAGTTACCTCTTGAACCACAATGTAACGCGAATGCATCTTGCTGCTAACTACGATCTCACGTTAACAACAAAAGTTCACCAAATAATAAGCTAAGGCCACATAAATTTAAAATTTAGATTCTCATCCTAATTTGCTAAAAAATTGGGGCGGGTGGGTGGATTTTATTTTTTATAATTGAAAGTATCAACAAAACATTCGTACACATAATTTTTATATTATGTTAATGCCAATATGAATAGATTTTATTGATTTCATATTCTTTTAAATATCTACATAAGATTCTTGTTATAGAAAATTAAAATATTTATAGTTTTATTAACAAATTATCAAGTACACAGATACGGCACACGCCAAACAAAATGAGGTGCTGATCCTAAAAAATTGCATATGCATGTCTTCTCGTCGGCCTTTCCCCAAATACCTTATAGTTTTACCAACAACTCCTTCTGTTCTGTGTGATATATCACAGATTTCCACTGTCCTCATACATTCAATCGTTCTTGAGACTTGACAAGTTAGACATTAAAATATATTTGAAAAACAGGATTGTGTAAAATATTCTACTGAAAAGCCTAGGCCTGAACAGGTTCCTTAGCACTATTATTCTCTAAAGTCTTTGGACAATGTTTTATTATAATTATTTTTTTAATGCAAAATCGCATACAACTGGAGATCGTTATTTAAAACTTGACCATGTGTCATTTTCTTCGTCTGTTTTTACTTGGTTAAAATCTCTTTAAAAACTTGCTCATGCCAGTGATGGTATCTAAGATATATTTATGTTATTTTTGCTTTTCTGCCTTCTCTATACTGACAAATTATCTTTTCCTTACATATTTAAACTGCTTTTATTGCCGATTTTTCCCCATCCTTCACATAGTTTTTTTGCTATAAATAGCGCCACGCGACTTTTAATACAGACGGGAGATAACTCTTAAATTTTGACCCAGATTCTTGCTGAATAAAAATACATGAAAATAATATGTTTGACACCCAAAAAGCAAAATAAAAAACAACGGGGCGGGGCATTTTGAGAGGGGCGGGCGGGGATGAGAATCTAAAGATTAATTTTACCTGGCCTAACCTTGATTTAATTGAAATTGTGGATAAATAAGGTGGTTCAACGTTTTTTGGTTAAAATTTGCACTTTTCAGACGTTTTGGTAATGTAACTAACATATCTATCTTTACACACAGGTCATGTGTAAGCTTGATGACACGCTCTCTATCAATGACTAACATATATACGATGTCAATTGTGACATCACAGTTTTAACGTTCAAAATGTCTCATGCGATTTGAAGAGGTGAATCTAAGTTTAAAACTGAATTAGAATAGATATCCAACCTTACAAATCTGCACTCCCCCTTAGGGTTGCACCGTTAACATATTAATAGTTTTTCTAAAATTTAGCAAATATTTACTCTCTTACTTAGTTTCTCTGTGATCACTGATGATTTTTTAAGTCAAATGCTTCTCATGAACTTTTCATTTTATTATCATGAATGATGATACCACACTTTTCTAATGGGGAGACTTTAAATTACCGGTCCCCAGATCTGCACACACATTGCACTATGACGTACAATTTACATCACTCAACTGATAAGGGTTAGTCTTGCAAATTTTTCCACTTGTTAGGGTTAGTCTTGCACCCACCTGAAAAATTAGTCTTCGCACATGGGTTAGTCTAGCATCCACCTGGGAGATTGGGTTATGGGTAAGTCCTCGCATATTGCCAGAGAGATTAGGGTTTTAGATTAATTAAGAAATTCAGTTGCATCTGTATCTTTGCAAGATTTTAATTCAGCTTCATAGACATCTCGTTGGTTTGTTTACATGAAAAAAAAAAATATCTAAGTGCGAAAGAAACGGCACTAAGCATGCAACGCACACGCTTCGTTGACAATTATTTTTTGTCTCCTTTTTACTGAATAAACAATATTTGTTTCTTTTTTCAGAGAAAAGGGTTAAAACCTTCGTTTAAAAACGAAATCTTAAATTATACTTTTAACCGTAGAATTCGATTTTGGGGTCAAAAATGCCCTAACCCTAACCTCATACTTTTAAATTTTTTTCGATCGCTCACGCTCTCATGTATATTTTAGCGCGTTTTTGTCTGGGGACCGGTAAAGTAAAGTCGTTCCTTCTAACGTTCTCTATGCACAGGACTGAAAAATCTGGATTATAATCAGATTTTGCCAGGACCGATTTTCCTATTTATGAATTTCACAGTACTGTCATTTATGCAACCTGATTCTTTATACAAGTCCTTAAGACAATTCCACTTATCGTAGATTTTTCTTGTTGTTTTTCTGGATTATTAAATCGTTTTCGACTAAAATCATAATGACTATAAAATAAGCACTTCTTTATTCTTTCTTGCCTCATGTTTATAGAATGTTTTCTCAGACTCGGGAGTTTCTCGTTCAAGGGCGCAGACATGTTTGTTGATAATTTCAGAATGTAGGACCCGATCAATATTTCACCTTTTTACAGATAGCCAAATTTGTGTAAGAAACATTTGAATTAATAACTCATTTGATTTCAAAACATTGAAATATGTTTTATTTTTAGAGAGTATGTTTTACTTTGTGATAAATATCGATAAAATTATTTTCAATCGAGTTCGAAATACAGAATAAATTTATGCAACCAACGTCTCGCGAAAACTCACGAGGGTGACCTGTCACAAACGAGTATGGCTGCCGCGAAGTTAGACCCAGAGATTTTGGAAATAATATTTTCATATTTAAGTATATCTGATCTTAGGAATTGTTCATTAGTTTGTAAAGATTGGTACAAGTTTTTAAATGACGAAAATAATGATGTGTGGAGATTTCACTGTGTGAGGAAACTGGCTGAGGAGGCTTTAAAATCTGACTTGTTAAAAAATGTTCCTACATACAAAGCGAAATTACGCGCATTTTATCATGCATGGAATCCAAATGATTGTTCAAAGAACATGTACGTTAAATCCAAAGGGTTTTCGGTGCATCGGAACCCTATCGCTCAAAGTACAGACGGTGCACGGGGTAAAATTGGTTTCCGGTCAGGCCGCCACTGTTGGGAGGTGTGGTGGGAGGGACCTTTAGGGACTGTTGCTATGATTGGACTGGCTACCAAATATGCTCCTATGCAGTGTCATGGATATGTAGGATTACTAGGTGCAAATGACCAAACTTGGGGTTGGAACCTAGTGGATAACTATCTTCTACACAATGGAGACAGTCAAGGAAATTATCCAACAGTGAACAATGCACCTAAATATCAGGTGATGAGATGTGTTCCTGATGAGTGTTCTGGTTTTATATAAAATTTTTATGCTATTTTATGAAAATCAATGGGCTTATCACAACAATATTTTTACACTGTTAATATTTGAATGTGTAACATTCCATAATACCATAATATTATACACTGTCAGAGTTATCCCTAAGTAAGAATTTAAATTGGTAACGGTACGTTTCGCCCCTATTGATGTTTCGCGCTGAGACCATTCGCCCCAAAAGACCTTTTGCGCCGAGACGTTTCGCACCCGATTTAATCTTCATTGTCTATAACGATATAAATACGATATGTTTTAAGATAAATATTTACATATAAGGTTAATATTGACTTTATTTAAAAAAGTTCTAAAGTTACTAAAAAAACTTTCATGACTGTTTAAATTGTTGAAAATAGGCTTATACCATAATTAAAGGTATAATTATCCATGTGCAGATATAATTATGTTTATTCAGCAATCATAATTGTCTGATTCAGTTTTGTAATTAAGGTGTTATAATTATAATTTGGTTTTCAGTGTCCGCAGGGACTTATAGGTCCTTATACGTCCCTGCGGTGTCAGGTGTTAAGTATAACCCATATAAATTGGTATTATTGATTGAACCCATAGGCACTCCCCAGCTTAATTGTTAAAAAATATATATCTACTATACTATAAAAGTTATGTTTATAGTATAGTAGATATATATTTTTTAACAATTAAGCTGGGGAGTGCCTATGATTGAACCAATGGATTGGATTAATATAACACAGTATAAAAGTTAAGAAGTTGATAATTGCTGTTAACAAGTGATAATTGCCACATAATTGATTGATCTTCGGCGCGAACCGTCTTGGGACGAAACGTCTCAGCGCGAATGGTCTTTCGGGGCGAACCGTCCCGCACTCTTTAAATTATAGCATGGGACATTAAAAAAGTAGAAGGGGGTCTGGGTTCCTCCCTTCATAAAGGGACGAGGGGGGAATACCAGAGTAACCAAAGGACTACGTCAATCTGATTAAAATCAGATCCTTTGATTCGCTCAGATTGCTACACAAGGATCTGAAAAAACCCTATTCAGGGTCATCTCCTGGTGACCTTTCAATTATCCAATCAAAAGTTTGCTTCCAAGAATTTAGAAGTATCTCGGAATTCAGTTACAGAAGTGAAAGCCTTGATGATACACAAACAGAAAATTGTGACTTGGTTTCTGTACCCTGTCAAAAGAACGACCACAGTTTCTGCTGTATAGAAATATATAATTTAGTATTGCTTTTGCCTTTTTAGCTCACCTGAGCTGAAGGCTCAAGTGAGCTTTTCTTATCAAAATTTGTCCGTTGTCTGTCGTCGTCGTTGTTGTCGTAAACTTTTCACGTTTTCATCTTCTTCTCCAGAACTACTGGGCCAATTTGAATCAAACTTGGCACAAAGTATCCTTGAGTAAAGGGGATTCAAGTTTGTTCAAATGAAGGGCCACGCCCTCCTCCAAGGGGAGATAATTATGAAATAGCAAAAAAATAATGGCTAAATTATTGAAAAATCTTCTTCTCAAGAACCAATGGGCCAGGAAAGATGAAACTCATGTGGAATTATTGTCAGGTAGTGTAGATTCAAATTTGTTCAAATCATGACCCCCGGGGGTAGGGTGGGGCCACTATGGATGATCAAAGTTTTACATAGGTGTATATAGGAAAAATCTTCTTCTCAAGAACAGCAAAGCAGTGATTGGTAATATTTATGTGGAAGCATCCTCAGGTGGTGTGGGCTCAACTTTGTTCAGATCATGACCCTCAGGGTAGGGTAGGGCCACAATGGACAATGAAAGTTTAACATAGGACTATATAGGAAAAATCTTCTTCTCAAGAACAGTAAGGCCATGATTGGTCATATTTATATGGAAGCATCCTAAGGTGGTGTAGATTCAAGTTTGTTCAAATCATGACATCCCGGTGGTAGGGTGGGGCCACAATGGACCATCAAGTTTTATATCGGTGTATATAGGAAAAATCTTCAAAAATCTTCTTCTCAAGAACAGCAAAGCTATGATTGGTCATATTTATGTGGAAGCAGCCTCAGGTGGTGTAGATTCAAGTTCATTCAAATCATGACCTCCCGGTGGTAGGGTGGGGCCACAATGGACGATCAAAGTTTTACATAGGAATATATATGAAAAATCTTCAAAAATCTTCTCAAGAACAGCAAAGCAATGATTGGTCATATTTATCATGTTTATATGGAAGCATCCTCAGGTGGTGTAAATTCAAGTTTGTTCAAATCATGACCCCCCGGGGTAGAGTGGGGACAAAATGGACGATCAAAGTGTAACATAGGTGTACATAGGAAAAATCTTCAAAAATCTTCTTCTCAAGAACAGCAAAGCTATGATTGGTCATTTTTATATGGAAGCATCCTCAGGTGGTGTAGATTCAAGTTTGTTCAAATCATGACCCCCAGGGGTAGGGTGGGGCCACATTGAACGATCAAAGTTTTACATAGGAATATATAGGAAAAATCTTTAAAAATCTTCTCAAGAACAGCAAAGCCACAGTTTGTCATATTTATATGGAAGCATCCTCAGATAGTGTAGATTCAAGTTTGTTCAAATCATGACCTCCAGGGGTAGGTTGGGGCCACAATGAAAGTTCAAACATGTAGAGAAAAAAGGTCACAGTTATTTAAAAAATTATGTGAGCATCCTTAGTTAGTGTAGATTTAATTTTGTTCAAATGATACCCCCTCCCACTCCCTTCTGTGGGTAGGTTGGGACCACTTATGCATTTAAGATTTTCAATACTAAACTGATTTTTCCTCTTTTCCTAGCCACAGTACTCAGGTGGGCGATGTGGCCCCTGGGTCTCTTGTTATACATTCTCAAACTATACACATTTACATTATTAAATTTCCATTGCCAAGGAATTGAGCAGATATACGTTTCAGATTTTATCTGGATCAAAATAAACAAGTTGTTTAGTCCTTCTGTTAATCTAGTCTGCATCATCAAGATGTTTGCATTTATCTCCAAGTAAGGTGAACACAAATGTAGGATTGATACAGACTTCCTTACAGTGGCTGGGGGTTCATTCCACCAGGTCTAGATGTAGGAAGTTGTTGAACAAACTGTCACACTTCAAATTTTTGTCACTCGAGTAAACCTTTTTGGGCTTGCTTTAGTCCATATTTCATCAGCTCTTCGACCCCAATTAACCTATTTCAGATATTTAAGCCAATTTACAGAATCATCACTGATATTCATCCCCAAACTCCTGGGTCAATATCAAACATGTCAATGTTAAAACATTTATATATTCAGAAAATTTACTATTACAGTGTTACTGTATTGCTTTTTAAAATGATTTTTGGTACATGGTGTTTTGGTACATTACATGATGTTTTATTTATTTTAGGTGGGGGAGAGGATTCGAGTGATACTTGACTGTGAAGACAATACATTAGCATTTGAAAAAAACTATGAATTTTTAGGTATGGCAAAGATTTACGATTATTAAAAAAATACAGATTGAATAAGTTCGCCTACTACAAAAATTGCATATTTAAAATAACGCTCAAACTAATTATTTTTAATACTAGACTAAAATAGTAAATTTTACCTAGATTAGAAGAGCTTTATATGCATTGGTAATTTGTCCATCATCCATCTGTCTAGCTGTTCATCTGTCAGTCTGTAAACAATTACTGAAAAACACTACTCCTCCTCCTACAGTTTTGTCCAATTTCAATAAAAGTATTGTTTGTTTGGAATTGCCTCCCACCTCATTGAAATGACCCCTCCTGGAAAAATTTTATTGACCAAAAATAAGGTTTTTTTTTTTTTTCAGTCAGTTCTTGGCCTGTTACCATATGTGCCATCCAATCACTTAATAAGTGTAGGATCCAATCAAAACTGGATTCCTGGTTGATGGGAGATACCCTTTTCAAAAAGGCAGAAAATAATGTGTTCATTCCTTATTGAGATTTTTATCATCAATTTTTAATTTTTTAAAAAAAAATAATTTCCCTCCCTCCCTCCTGGGTCTGAAACCTCCCAGGCGGCAATTCCAAACAAACAATTTTTGAAGGATGGCCCAAAGTTGATACATGTACACAAAATACATATTTCTGTACATCAGTTTTTGATTTTAATGAAGTTTGTTTCATAGTTACTAAAAATAGATATAGTCCTTTTGAAATTCTTTTGAAATGTCATTCCTTCTAAAATCTTTGTCTGATTTCAAGAAAACTTGTTACACAAAGAGATTCATCGTTGGATACACATGGATGATGTCATCCTTTACTCATCATCACTCGGTGTTGAGTAAAAGATAACGTCACTTGTGCATACATGACAGTGAAGTAGATTACTCTATAAAACTTCAATTTTTCTAGCAGATTTTGATTTTGACAAAAACAGTGTTGCCATAGTTACTTAAACTTGAAATTGCTTTTAAATTTTTCAGTTTTAGGTCACAATAAACGGATTTCAGTTGAAATCTTGGCACAAGTAAAGCCATGTGGCCCTTGAAGCTTTTGTTATCATGTGGCATGTAGCTTCTGAAAAAAAAAACATTTTTACTTGATTTTTTTCTTATGTTTCTTTTTCCTGATTGATACTGACATTTTATTGGCTATACTTTATTTTGATAAGGTGTGGCTTTCCGTGGGTTACCAGACACGCCCCTGTATCCTTCCGTGTCAGCAGTGTATGGCAATACAGAGATCTCAATGGTATACTTAGGACCGCCCCTCGACGGATGACATCAGTTTCACAGACTAGCACAATCCACTAATAAGAATCAATATAACAGATCTTGTGCTCCACAATGGAGATGCGAGTCTCTGTTTAGGGAGACTGCCTTTTCCCTCCATGTGAGTGGGACTGGAAATTTCCATTAAGTTTGAGTAAAATCCAGTGAGAATCATGTGTTACCGAGATTTTTTATGTTACTTTTGCTGGACCAAAAGTAGGAAAATATATCCATTCTATGTGTCTCTCATTACTGCTGCTATACAAGATTACAGAGTATTTGTAGGTCAACAAGAGCAGACATACCATCTGTGTGTGTGTGTATGTAGATTTATAAATAGTGTTTGTGTTTTCAGTCTTGGACTGAGATTTTTATGAGATGTCTGAGATTTGAGATTTTAAATGACATGCTTGTGTGCTGTGTTGTAGCAGTATAAACCATGTTTATTATTATTATTCTTATTACATTGTGTATTTTTTTTTTTTTTGGTACAAAAAACCCCATCTGATGCTGATGTCAAAGTGCTATTGTAGCCGTTCATAGAGTATTTAACTGGGCGAAAAATATGTAAAAAGTGCTTAATGAGAATTATTGATATGTTCCTGGATTGCATACATTTTCCAAAAACTTTTTTTGTTTTAAGAGTGTACATTTAAGAGATCTTGTTCCTTTAGCTACAAATAATCATATATTGATCCTATTACCGGTACTTTCTAAATTTGTCTCCATGATAACATAGAGATGTGTGCATTAGTGGAATGTTTTTCAAGGTCTCTTAATACTAACTAGTCATGAGATATTTTTCTTTTTTCCATATAAGGTATGATCATATATTGTATGAAGCTTCAATGTAATGAAAGTGATTAAAAAAAGTTGAATAGTTTGAGAAAAATTTGCATCAAATTTTCTTTGGTTAGCCACTGAGTTGGAGGAGTAAGTTTCACTTTGCCTGATAATAATTTTACTCTCGAGTCTTAATGACTGGTAGCAAAGTAATCTTACAAGTTGAGCATTTTAATTCTAAACCTGTAATGTAATTAAAAAACCTTCTCATGTAATTATAAGATATTAGAAATATGTACACGAAATCTCATTTTTTAGTCAGTTTTATAAATTAATGAATGTGTTTTCATAATGTACTTATTCATTACATGCTTGATATAGTGGAAGTGTACATTCACTTCCAATAGTTTAATATAAAATGAATTGTATGAGTATGAAATATTATGCAAATGTAAATGCAGAAATGAATGATAGTCAGGGGGTAAATGTAAAAGATTGAATTAATTAAGATGTAATAGGAGATGTACATGTGAAAATGATGTCATGCATATATTTATATGTTAAAGCTGTATAAGACCGCGGAACATTAACTGGCAAAATTGGAAATATGCAGCTTACGTCATTTCCATCTGTCGCAGTCAAAACACTTGATGATATACAATGAAATGGGCGGGTACAATTTGACACGGACGTCTGCGAAAACATTGGATTGAAATTGCAATTCGAAATTCATTTTCAATCCACCTGAGCTATTTTTCGCAAAGTTATAATGTATGATCGAAACGACAAAAAATTTCAGTTCCCAAATGCGTATAGTTTGAAATTAATGTATAACAATTTTCTATTTTGAGGACAAACAAAAGTTGAAGAAGATGTAGCTATATGTATATTCTTTTAGGGGAAGACCATTTGATTCTAGAAGTTGGGGGGGGGGGGGGGGGGGGGCTGGCAAATTTTGTCGAATCAGATTATTTATCATTATGTCTCACATGAAAGAATATATTGAATATTTGTAGGATGAAAAAAGACATTATTTATTTTCTTCTTCACTGAAAAAATTTGAAATTCAATTTCAATCCATCTGAGCTGTTTTCAAACCTTAAGTTGAATGTATGATTCAAAAGACAAATAAATTCAATTCCCAAATACATATTGTTTGAAATTCATATTTATAGTTTTTTAGCCTATAATTTTACGGACACGTCAAAGTCCTAGAATACAGAGATTATTTTTTCAGAGGACGGTTATTTGATTCTAGAAAGGGGGGTGTCAAAAATTGTCGAGTCAGATCATGCCTTCACATGAAGAATATATCAATTCCTAGGATGAAAAGAGCTTTTATTTTTTATTTTTTTTTCTTCTCTGAAAAATGTTTGACAAACTAAAACAGGGAGGTGTTGTCCAAACTAAAACAAAACGTTCTTATTCATTTCCAAGATCGTTCATTCCCCCCCCCCCCCCTCCAACCACCCAACACACACATACCAAACAGAAATCAAATATTTGTTCCTTTATATTTCTTTAAAAACATGGGATAGAAAATTTTGATTTATATATATATTTCAAATTATTTGTCTTCTGTGTCAATCAGTAACACCGTGCGTTCTAGCGTAGCTGAGGTGGATTGAAAATGAATTTCGAATTGCAATTTCAATCCAATGTTTTCGCAGACGTTCGTGCGGAATTGTACCCGCCCATTTCATTGTCTATCATTAAATGTTTTGACTGTAACAGATGAAAATGACGTAAGCTGTATATTTCCAATTTTGCCAGTTAATGTTCCGCGGTCTTATTGTATACAGTGTATGATTGTACAACTCAGTGAAGGTTTTAATAAAATTTCTCAGAAACAAAGGATGTGTTGTGAATATCAAATAATTTAAAGCTGTTTGAAGCAGGAAAGGGGGAGAGAATAATAAAGCTGTGTTTAAAATTTCCAGGTTACCTCCCATTCCCCAGTGTGAGTGGGTTGGCTCTCGCTCTCAACCTTCATCAATGGTTGATTTAAAGGGTATGGGGACAAGTATACCCCCATCCCTTAAAAAAATTGAAAATTTTATTTGCCTGAAATAAGTGTAAACTATATAATGTATAATAGAATTAAACTGGTAATGCATTCGAATCCATTTTTAGCTCACCTCAACGAAGCCTACATAGATAATGCATCTAGTGATGAACACTACCAAACTTGCTTGAGGTGCTGGATCAAACCTAGATTTCTGGATGAGTGACCAGGGTTAAATTTTGGGAACAGGTACATTCCCCACTAATGACAAAACCTCATTGTATAATGCCTCTAAGGATTTACAGTTCATTCTCTCAAAACAATGTAAATAGTACATGAGGTACATAAACATATAAAAACGTATATACGTATAATACATTGGGTCAAGCAAAAGGTGAGATATAATTAAGCTAACTAAGGAGCACAGACCATACTATTAATTTTAGTAACAAATGTACATGCTTCAAATGCAGCAATTAACCTGACGCACATTTTCCAAATGAGTGACCAGGTTGTGCTTGAAGACAGCCCCTCTCCCTCCCAATTAAAGAATCCCGGAGTTTTTCGACTTTCTTCTCATAAATAATCTTTAAAGGTTTGTGATCTAACACATACAAATATGTCCATAAAAGATAATATATGAGAAAAGAATTCGGAAAGGCCCGGGGATATATATTGGGGGTTAGGGGTTGGTTCCTAACCCCAAGCAACTCTGGGTCCATTCCCAAGAAACTGCAAGTCCTTTATGTATTACATACTTTTATCCAAAAAATTATGCAATCGCATCCAAGGCCATGGGGTGGGGGAGGGTGCGATTGCACCCATTTTTAAATACACTCCAAAATTTTCATCTGCTTCAAAGTAATGCCGCTAGATTTTGTTTATTTTTAAAATATGTAAAAAGAAAAAAAAAACTTGAAGAATTACCATAACCCTCCAAAATGTATCCATTTATTTAAAAAATTACAATAATAAGTAAGGGGTACTGGCCATCCCTGCACCCCCTTTCCAGAAACCTGGAGACGACCCTTGTATTTTTAACACATATCTGACCGAATTGTAAATCTAACCAATATCACTTTCGTATGCAAGAAGGCATGCTTAGTCTATGTTTTGTATTCAGTAGAAACTGTTCATATATAGCTTTCAGAGATATCTTTCATTGTAAGCAAAACTTCCCCCAAAAATCTGAAAAGAAAAATAAATAAATTTAAAAAAAAAACAATAAAAAAAATAAATAACTCCCCAAACTCGACATTCTTTTATAATGCTGGAATCTGCCAGTCTTCATCTTACATCAACAAAAAGTTGTGGGGGGGGGGTGTCAACCAGCATCTAAATGAAAATCAACATATAAAAACAACAGCAAAAGAAATTACTCTGAAAAAGTAGAGGGCGGGACCCCCCCCCCCCTACCCTGCATGGCCCTGCGTTCTAGGGGCCTGAGTGTTTATGTAGTTTACTGCAGAAATCCATTTACCTGGTAAAACTTCGTAGATAAGCCACGAGGGTAAAAAAAAATATAACCCTCTTTCGGCTTGGTTTGCGTAGTGAGTGCTAGTGGTAATAAAACTATTAAGCATTTAGATATTCCTTTTAGTGGATTTTATTGATCAAGTTGGTCCTGAACAAAATACACGGAAATCATGATGACCCCTGCCAAGACGAGAACACCCAACACCGCTCCAACGAAATATGATACTGTGGCTTTTCTTCCAAGGAATTTTGCTTCATCAACATCACCATTCTTATAAGCTTTATCCCCAAGCTGCATCCAATGAACACCAGGCATGCAACAGAGCAAGAAGAAGAAAAAGAAGCAGGGACAGTGCAGGGCGCTGTGTATCATGTGGTTTATTCTGTTGTGGGGATTCGATTTCACCAGGAACTCATTGTAAACTGATTGCTCTTCCTCTGGCAAATTATAAATAAAAAAGTGCACGGGTTCATTTTCATAGTGTGGTCTCTCAGCGCCTAAATGCGGAACTTCGATTGGTTCCCTAGACAACGGGACCGTTCTTTTCACAGCTCTTGGGGTTGTTGGACAACTGTAAGCTTTCCTTTCTGTAGGAAACCCCGTACTTTGAAAATTTTCCTCAAGTTCTTCACCAATGAAAACGTTTAATTGTCTTGTTGTGTGAGGGTGTTTAGATTTCATGGATCCGGTATAGGACAGTTTGGAGATTGCCCCTGGAGAATGGATTCCTTCTTCTGTATACGGATTGTGATAAGTGGAGAAATCGGAAAAAGGACTTGAGACTTCGCTTTCTTTGGTTTCCGGATTATGGATATGTAATGTGAACTGGTCTTTCCCTTTATATTTATACTTCTTGGACTCTGTGGTTGAGCATTGAGCTGTGTCAATTCCAATGCTTTCATATTCGGGTTCTATGCTGGATTCCGGAATGGTTATTTCGGAAGTCGTCGGCATGTATAAATGTTCATCAGCCATTTTAAAGATTCTGTAAAAATAAAATTACATTAAATATTCTGTAAATGATATATAAATTCATTTTATAATTCGATTAAACCTCTGTATAATATTCTTTTCTATTCTTACTGAATAGAAATTGTCTTTTCTTGGCTCAAATTTACAATATACAATTAAGAGATTCTTATTAATCCAGCGGCACTGTACGCCTTCATTCTCATCATATGATCTGGTACTTAATATATCCTTCATATATATTCCGGACGCTCTATAACAGACTACTCTATATTATAAGGTAGATCGACAGCTCATCAAACTGCACAGATTCAGCTGATAATAAAAGAAACTGACCCTACAACCATGTATCATAAATTTAGGGTTCTTTAGAGGGCATCAACCTGGTCTTTTTCATATCCCATTTAGTACAATGTATGTTTCAAAAAGAACAATTTCAAGAACCCAATCATGTCGCAGAGTAACAAGAAATTGCATACCATACATGTACCAATGAACGAGGAATTTTTTAGTTTTAGACATAATTACAGGTGAAAATGATTCTTAACATTTTGCCCTAGTGATCCACCGTACTTTTCAATAAAAAAAAAAAGGTCTCTAGATAGCAGTCATGGGTCAAAACTGTCGGTTTCCGAATATTGTTGTTTATGACATTTTTATCAAAGGGAACCCAGTGTTAAATCTAGTATCATCAGATAAATCATCAAATGATAATTATAGAATATTTATCATCTAATTAAAAGAACAAATAACTCTATCGAGTAAATATTTTAAAAATTATAATTTGACAAGAAAACGCCTTACCTGTTCCACTGCTTAGTTACCTTGTGTGAGCAGTGGCGTGAAACCGAAGGCTTTTGTTTTTGACAATATTCTGACGACAATGGTCGCAATTTATCACCACATTACCTGTTTTATCAATTGAAGCAAAAAAGAGTTTTTATGTAATTCGCATCTGAGAATCTCACCATTGCATGTACACTGTACATGTATTTGTTCCATAGAGTCGTAAGCGGTTACCCAATATCAGGAATAGTGGGCTTTTATCGTAGCTTCTTCTAATTCTTTGTTTTTAAAGTCACATTATATTTGTTACATGATAAAATTATAACATTTGGGGGAAGGAATATCAATTTTCCCTTTAAAAAAAACTCTTTTCCAATACAGTATTTCAATATACATGTAGGTATAAAATATAAGATTTTGAAAGAATTCAAAATTTTAAAAACGGGGTGTCTTGATAAGTTACCCTTGCGATAGATAATAAAGCCTGTACAAGATTTTAAAATTCTCTATGTATTCTATGCCCTTAATTTATTGTCCGCTCAAAAAAATTGCATGCACAAATTGAAAACCTGACTATTTGAATAGTTCTCCTGAAAATACAGGCCCACGGGTATGAACAGTTTCAGAAGTGTGTTTGAGAGTGTCAGGGTGAGGTTGTGTGTGTGTGTGTGGTTTTTTTTTGGGGGGGGGGGGGGACTTCCCCAAAAACCTGAACTGATCCAAAAAATAAGTGTGGGGGGGGGGGCTTCCAAAAATAATATTAATCTGACAAAAAAAAAAAATTAAAACTGTCCAAATCCTAGAATTTGCCAGCGCTTTTCCTTACAATAACTTAACAAAAAAAGGTGAGGAAGGGGGGACCAGCAACTAAAGGAAAATTTACTATTGCAAAATACTATACTCAGAAAAAGTGCTCCCCCCCTCCGCGTTCTACGGTTCTGAGCTAATCAAATCATATGCTATATGAACTGCAAATACATGTGCATATTTTTAGTTCCTAGACCACCTGAGTCACTCGTCGGTTGTAAAACTCCTATTAGCACTGGCATCTAGGAGACACACTTTTTGCATGATTACAATGAATACTTTTAAAACTTTCTTCCAAAATTGTGAAATTTATAGCCCTTGGTCTTTCTGCCAGGTCCAAGGGTGGTGCTAAATTGGACATGTGTAGACAATTCATATAATATCTTTGAAAACATTTTTTTCAAAGGACATCTACTTCAGAAACTGCGTATATGATTACAATCAATGAGTACTTCTGTCTTCAACCATTACGAAAATTGTAAAATTCATGCCCCTCCCCTTTCCCAGTTCCATTGTTGAAATGAAAATTTTCATTGTCAGAAAGTCAAAGGGGTTAGACACAAAATCTGTAACTTAAATAGTCTTCTCCGATACAACATTTTGTAAAATTGCCATAATATGAGTACATGTACATGTAATTGGACTACTGCAAAGAAAATAATATAGTATCAAAACATGCTCAAAATGTGTAGATAAACGATATAATAAAACCTTGACGATGTGAAATAACGACGTATCAAAGACTGAAAAAAACCTCTTTTTTTAAAAAAGCAAAACATTTATAAAAAAAAAAAAAAAAAAGAAGAAGACTTTTTAGGAAAAGGGCCTTATTCATTTGAAAACGCTTGAATAAAACTTGAATATTAGATGCATTTTGTAGATCAGAGAAGGGATTGTATCGCATACACATCACCAACTGCCCATCGATAATGTACATAGATAATGTACAAATTATTGAACGATGATAGATTATTTACTAGAGAATGCTTTACTGTTGCATATTCGTTACAAATAAAAATGGCATGACTCTTCTTAAGTTCACTTGAGCAATTTGGACTGGAGAAATGAGCCAAAGTTTAAAATTCTCAACCTTGTGTGAATTATATACAAATGAGAGAAAAAAATAGGAGGTTTTCCAAAATTTATGGAAGTTGCCTCTCTTGTATTAGATCATGTACTATCTAGAACGCATTCCACCTTCTTATAATATCAGGAATAAAAGATATGTTGAATAATTTTAGTCTGCATTTTGACACCTTTGGAAACCACTGTCCGTCCGTCCGTCTGTTACGCTTTGGGGTGCCCATCTCTTATCCTCAACTCCTCTTATACCACTGAATGAAATTTAATATGAGACTTTCACAGAATCTTTATTACATAGTACACTCCTATTTTACGTTTTGATCTGACACATATTTCGGGTCTCCCATAGCAAAACATGGACTTTGTCATTATAATCATATGGGAGGCAGGGATATCATTTTGTGAGCTCAGTGCTCACGGTACCTCTAGTTTATATCTATAAAAATCCTCTTGGCTCATGATCATTCTAGCTGATAAACTGTTTGAATGATTACTATAAGCAACTATAGTCCTTTACAAAAAAAAAAAAAAAAAAAAAAAAAAAAAATCAGATTCATTTACCCGGATTCATGGGCCAGGCTCGTGGGTGGTTTAAGTTGGTTGTATATTATGCATTTTTAATACAGTATACATACGTTATCTTAAGCTTCTTTGCTTGTATTTTCTTGAAGCCAAGCTGCATGAATAAGGCAACGATTATATTAAAATCCACATCAAATTTTAAAGTTGACACACGAGTTTAAAGTTTCAATTCCTTGTAGGGCCAAAGTGATCAGCACGAGAAACTCATGATACTTAGGTATACCATCAAGACCCTGAGAATATTGCATTCTCCGAGTTAAAACTTATTAGGTTATCAGAGATTACAGAGCTTACCTCAACGAATGGTATCTTTATTTTAAGTAAGGCAAAGTCCCACACTAAACTAATAATCTAGTAGTGTGCATCCCTAGATGCAACATTTATACAATTTTGGTCTGATAGGGCATGCAGTTACTTGAGAATGGTTTTGTTCTATCCTTAAACTACTAATTATCCATTTATTTTTTTTTTTTTAGTAAAATCCAACATCTAAAGCAAATTTTAAATATTCATCCCTTAATGCACCATCCACGCAAGTTTGGTCTAGGGAGGGCTTGAAGTTCAAATGGAATGAGCCTGCTCCAAAAACTTTGACCTGGTCACTCATCTGGAAAATGTAGGTCAGATCCAGTATCCTAAGCAGGTCCAGCAGTGTGCATACTGTGTGCATGTATCATCTATGCAAGTTAGGTCAACATGGGGCATATAGTTACTTTAGAATGAACATCCCAAGAAATCCCGTCCGGTTTAGCTATGAGCTGAACTCAATACAAGTGCTATTAACGCTAATCACCGATATTCCCCTAAGAGTGATTCGAGACAATTTATGGCAGAATCTTGTAGAGGTGGATCTAAAAAAAAAAAAATACTTTTACAAATATTTTCCTCGGATGTCATTGATAATTAAAGCATTTATTTCCTTTAATATGCTCAATATGATTTTGCTACCACGCGTTCTTCTACCTTTTTGCATGTGGAATTTATTTAAATTTTATTTAGAATTAATTAAATTTATCTTGAAATTTAGCGATTTCTTTTTTTATTATAGCCTTAAAATATTTTTAAATCTCAGGAGAATCTATAGTGTACAAGTCCCTCTAAGACACCGTGAGTTACCCCATACCCTGCATATTTAACTTACCCCTTGAGAAGAAGGTAAACATGGCCTATTTACACCCTTCCTACTACGCATTCAAAGGCAATATTTCTCAATATTTGAAATTTTAATTCTTTTCCAAGTTCAAGTTCAAGTTCAATTTATTCACTCAAACCAATTAATGGTACATGAGGTTCTATGTACAATATATACAAAAACAATATGCAAGATACACGTGAAATGGCGGAAATACATTCAAATTATAAAGTAACCAAAAAAAAAAAAAAAAAATAATAATAATAATAATAATAATAATTATGGAGGACAGACTTGTTCATATACCCTATCTATGTAGCTGCATAGTTTGATTAATACCTTGGAGTCAGCAGTTGACAACAATTCTGAGAATTTGTAGAAATTTGGTCTATTACAATATTTACCCGGTAGATACTTTTTTCTGCATTCTGAGAAAAATTGACATTCTAAAATATAGTGATACTCATCAGCTATTTGTCCATTATTACAGATATTACAGAGTCTATCATTTTTGGGAATTCCAAACCATCTCCCAGTCTCAACTGGGAGATGATGATTTGCTGTTCTTAATTTAATTAAAATTGTTCTAAATTTTTTAGGTAGAAAGTCTAAATATTTTTCAAATCC